ATCGAAAGGTTTACTTTTTCACAAAAAAAGCAGGAGGCATCAAATTTGACTACACTGTCTTTTGTCTTGGATGTACAGGCTTAATGAAACAACAATTGAGAAAAAGAACAAAGAAGCCTGATGCTTTGCTAGGGTTGAGCGTTTTTAGACTGTCACTCTTCCGTTCATTAAAGTTGACAAAAGCCGTATGGCGTGGGTCAACAGAGACTACGTTCAGACCATGTAAACAATAGAGGAAGCAAATAGTATAGGCAGTCAGGTTCATGGGTTGTAGCCTGTACAGGTTTAAGCGATGTGTTGAAAACATTGTCGCTTCGAAATGAATGCTACTCAAATAAGATGAGATGATTACAATGGTACAATGGTAATACCTATTATGATTCTTTTCATCGGCAGAAATCGCTCAATTTCGTACAAGTGTCATATCTAGGAAAAGATCACCTATCCAGCGTACGCGATGAAACCGCGGCTGTATTCTCAGCAAGTAGTTGTCACTGCTTTTCAAGTCCTCAGACGGTTCCTTTTAGGCGATTTCACGGCTTCGTTTGAACCACTGAAACATGTGATATCCAAAACAACTTCTCTGCAGTCTTTTCTTTTGCAAAACTACGAACCGTTTCTGTCCTTTAGTCTGTCAATTACTGCTGTGGAACAGAGTATGCGCAACGATCAACGTTCTAAAAAGGCTTTGTAAGAGATGCATGTGCTGTAGTTAGCCAATATCAAAAATCTCCACTGCCTAGTATTCGCTGGCAATGGGGTGGAATCTGACCTTACTATCGTGTCATCAACTTCAACAAACAAGGAATGTCATATCTAACAAGAAAAGAACTCACCTATCCAGCGTATGTGATGACGAATCTACGACGATACTGTGAGCAAATAGTCTTCACGGCTTGTCGAATCCTTTGGCTCTTTCTTTCAGGCGGTATCACGGCCGTTTAAATCTACACCGGCAAGCCACGCGGGCGGTCGCGCGCGTCTGTGCTTTTAGGTCGCGCTTTATCTGTAGGCGGACTTGGGAAATCTGAGTGTCTTCTTTCCATTCCGAAAAGTGGTAATGTCCTGGTCCTAATCGGTGTTCCTGCAAACTTGACTCATGTTATCGCTGTGCAAATATGAACGTGTTGATACACAAACAAGAACTTCATAATGTATGTTCTCTACATTGGCTTCGTGTGCTCGATGTAGCCTTACTGTTTTGAAGCTGGTGTTCTATTCTCCTAGCTGAGCTTGTATATTGCTCTCCTCGACTTCTGTGACGTATGAGCGTTTGTCTTCGTCTGCAACTTCGACGAAAGAGTTGATGAAGGGGTCGATGGTCAGCCTCTCTAGTATATAGCGATGTTTTTGAATTGACGGATTTCGTCGAGAATGAGGTTTATAAAATCCTTGGAGTTAATGCGTCTTTCAAGTCTGGGCCTCTCCTCGAAAAGTTGTCGGCTAAAAAACCGGCACGTCCTTTCCCACAAACATATCGTAGACCTCCCAAAAGAGGAATGATACTATGTGAACATATTCCCGGAGTCGGTTGGAAATGGCTCGTCTTTCCCTTCAGCGCTGTGCTTGAAATTAGTAAACGACTAAAAATATGCCAAAGACAAAAGTTTTGCGCATTGGTCTCCTCAGATTACTAAACAAAATGTAAAGCGAAGAAAAAAAATAAAAACATCAACAACCGTCAGCCTCTGATTGTAAAGCACAAAAAGAAGTAGAACACCAACTATGCCATTCCTCATTGAGAGTTGAAAAGCCGCAGTAAAAGCTATAAGCGAAACCGACGCTATGAAGGCCTTATGTGCAGTCAGTGCAGCAATAAGTTGAATCGCTGTGGCCGCAGAATTGCGAAGCCATTGGTTGTTCGATTCTTTAGCGAATTACTCAGCAAGCATCGTTTGAATGTGCAACGGTCCATTAGCAATATTAACCTCCGCGATGGATATGAAAACTCCAAAGAGCAATAGAGCCAAAGAGATAGGGTGATAAACGAGATTAGAATAAGCAGCAACACTTTATATAAAGCCCTCACCAACCCTCTGACTGCCTCGAATCGCCTGAATCCCAGCTTTGGCATCTATCACACGCGTCCCCAGTCGATCGTTGATCACCTGGGCAACTCCACCTCACCTCTATGATTATTCATCTATTCATTTACTTGTTTCCCATGATTGATCTTCGTGCCCTCTCAATACTTCATGTCCCCGCCACAAACGCGGCAGGGTTATGTCCGAGGTGCACGTTGTGGCGGCTTCGCTTAAGTGCTCTCACCTCTAAATCATGATCCGGGAGTTATTTAAAATTACAGAAAAACCCAAAACGCGAAAACTTGTAAAAACGTAATCATCACTTTCGTAACTGAGACTTTGAGCGAACTCATCACCCAGGATCTTGAGGACCTTGATCATGTCCACCCGAAACATCGGATCGTTTGATGAGATGGCAATTCCCGAATCATACCGTAATATATTGAGACCTTTTGCAGAATCCAAATTCAGGGAGGTCAAAGTCTGCAACAGCTTTACTTCGGTCGAATAATTCTGCGGTTCCACTAACTTAGCAAAATTAAGAAATGGTTTATTACAAAAAATTATGACAAATGGGAGAAGCTGATTTGGATTTCAAAGCTGCAATAAAAAGAGCAGCAAAGAGAGAGAGGGTTTGAAAAAAACGACCAAGCACAAACTACAACTCAAAGGCTAATTCCCACACTGGAGCGCTACGTATGTCTCATGGTTCTTGATTTCCTCGTTATATACGCGAAGAAAATCAGCTTTTGCGTGAAAACCTAGTCTTCATCACACATTTCCTCTGGTCGCATGTGCAAAATCCTCTACTATATTCATGCTCGATCACTTCACCTTTGTCGCTTCCCACTCCATTTCTATCTGGGTGGCAGTATTGCGAAAACTTTGGATACTTTTCTTGCTACGTTAGTGAGCTCCATGCCGGATTTCATCCACTCTCTTTCTAACAGTAGCTTATTATTGCCCTTATCAGAATATATGGTGCGTTTCTATCAATAAAATAATACAATTAAAAAATCAAATAATACATCAAAGTTAACTGGACGATGCCAAGATTAATCGACAATCGAGCTTGAAGTGTTTCATTTAATTCGCGCAACATGTTGCAAATCTGTGGAGCGCTCTAGATGAACGGCGTAATTCGGTTTAAACTAAACATGTAAATCATCTTTGCGCCACAAAAAGGCCTTCCAATTCCTTCCGACTGTAACATTAACTCAAAAATTCGTCATTCCGGAACACTCTTTTGCTCAAGAGAGAGAGTTCACTCGATCGATTGTCAGCCCGCAGTTGTCTTCATGACGCAAATAGAATACTGTCGTCGTGGCGCATAAGATCTCATTATGCAGACAAGGTTATTCAAAAAAAAACGTAAGACTTCTAGGCTTCAAACATTGTCACAGGTGTGCATTCACTTTCCTTTATCAAAAAGTTCCTCTTGTCTGGGTCTCGCACCTGTTCGTAGACGGATTGCACCACGCTAGCACACAGATTTTTGTGTTTGGTAGGTTCCTGCTTGTAATCCTCAAGATCTATATGATTTCTTCTTGGGGGATTACTTAAGACGAGAATCCAGTAGCCGTATTTAGCAGGCATCATATCTGAATAATTCACAACAGTGCGAGGCCGGGCTATCATGGTACTAACTACTGCTTGTGTGGCGGCTCGGTGTGATCAGCACCTTTCCGCTAGTGCTCGCCGCAGCTACACCAAGATCCCTGTTGTCCCCTACATGGTGTCGCGCGTCCGATAAGGTTAGCTACGCCCTATCGGACGCTGCCGAGGACTACCCGCTACTCGTATGAAGGGTACAGTAAATAGCGCGTAACGCTGAGAAAGAAAGGACCGACTAATTCAGATTACATTTATCTACAAATATACACAACAATAAACTACTAACAATACTAAAACTACTAGAACTACGGGAACTACTAAAAACTACTAAAGCTACTAAAACTACTCTCTAAAATCAGGAAAAAATAGGCACGGGACGAGCCGCCTTGTCCCGTGCTGCCGATGCTCGATGATGATCACTCCAACGCGTAGTTCCGGGCTCTCCGCTGGGTCAACCGCAAGCCCCTAGCCCTTCCGGGACGGTGTGACCCCTCTCCACTCCCGCTAGTGTGCTTCCTACGCAAGACAGACCATGATGTTAGCTGCGCGTCTCCAAGACCAAGAAGATGACAAAAGCTCAACCGCTCGAAACCGCTGATCATCTGCGGGAGCTGCTGGAGGCGCTGCCAGCACGAACGATCTCATAAAATGATCAATACGAACGAAACTCGAAGAGGCGTAGACCGCGGCCTGCGCGCCCTTATATACCCTGTGACTTGGCAACGCGCCAGCAGGAGAGGTCTTGGCGCGATCTTGAAAGCGCGCCAAGTAACGCGATAGCCAGCGCTCCCGGCCTCCTGTTTCGAGGAGTGGCTTGCATCGCGAGCCGCGACAGCTTGTCTATGTCAAATGTAGCCTGGATTGCCGCAATCCAGTGATCCGAACATCGGTTCGACAGCTTTGCGTTGTTCCGTGGATAAAGAGATGCGAGTGTCTCGGAAAATGGCACTTTTCTCGCTGAGCAAGTGGGACTTCGTCCCTGCGAGTTCCCTCACAGAACGGTGGTTTGTGTTTATAGACTTCCTGAGGCCATTCGCGCTAGAAAACTCCAACTGAACCATCAGGAACAAAATGTCTTTCCTCGAGTATTGAGTTGCATGATAAAATAGGACAGGATTTTGCGTGCCTTGGTTACCTATGGTTCGGAGAAGCGAATGCGGAAGGTATGTCAGCCCGATGGAATATTTGTAGCAGACAAAGTGATGTGATCAGTTGAGGAATAAATTTTAGAATACCAAGCATATACATCAAACCAATGACTCAGTACGGTTCAAAAGCATCTTTTTGGTCTACGAGAAAGTAGCGTAATTTCCAACGTGTCGTAATATTGCGTCTTGCACCGTTCTCATTAGAGCACATTGATGTCAATGTTTATCGTGTCATTTTTCTGCTTGCGGCTGCTCACCTCTACGTCCCGGACTTCTGCGATGGAGCATTTCTGCCAGTATGCGGCTTAAGAGGTTTCAAAAAAGGATAAAAAAGATGAGCGTGGATGTGCCCACGCTATACGAAATCTGTCTACGTTTGGAAGAGAATGGTGCAAAGGTATGAGCTGAGCCACGAGCAATATAGTAGGTGTTATTCTCGGCTTAAACTTTCAGAACACTGAGGATTTTCAACGCTGTATTGATGCAGTGAAGGATGGGGACATTTCCACCAAGAAACTGGCGATACAAATAGTTTTTAGGCATGCGCTTTCAAATTACCTTCCATTGCATTAACGCTTCTCATTTTCAGATTTTTTGATACTTTTCCGGACAAAAGAGTTTCAGCTCTCAATACCTTGCTATCACAACTAAATGAGCCGGATGTGGAGGTTGGTTTCCCATTTTCTTTTCTTTTCTCTTTCTTCTTTGGTGAAAGAATATTGCCTCGTTTTTGTTTCTGTCAGATTCAATTTGAAATGCTAGGGTTTCCACTGACTTAGTTTATCTAGACGAAGTCATCGCACGCCGAGGTTGGGCGCTACTGCATAAGTTCGCGTCGCTCTAGTCGAGGCCTCTCTCATCTCTACTACGGTCTGCTCTCACTTCCGACCAAGAACTATTTTTATCAACGGCTTCCAAACTCTGCGAACAATGCATCGCCTGTATTTTTTCAAGCCGTCAATAAGCTTTGGCCGCATACGAAAACAGTGGGCAAATAGTAGCGATTCACTGCAGTAATGAGTTGCGCAGTATGATTTATTCTACAAAAATGATTTTGTACAAATGTTGTCCTGTTTCCTATATTATTTGTCCAATTAGGGGATGATCTCTTTTTTGTTTTTGGACTAAGGGTCTATTATCATCTTGCTGTCATGCGTATGACGTTCTCTAGGCTCTCCAGTTTAAGTTCTTATAGTTTTTTTTTGTTAAGGTGATATAATATGACCATTTACTTGAGATTCAGGTCCAAAAGATTGTCATCAAAGGTCTACCAACGACATGTCAAAAGCATGCTGATTATGTCGACCAGGTAAGGTCAAAGTACTTTTTAATGTATCTCTGAATTTCTTTAACGTTTTGTTGTTGTTTCGGGTGGGAGACGTTCTTGCTCAGCTGCTGAGTACGCATGATACTCAGGAATCTCTCCTTGTGCGGAAATCTCTCAGCACACTACTCGTCAGTCATCCTAAGGGTATGTTCCTGTGCTTTTTTGCGTCACAGCATGCTCTTTTTCTTACAGAAACCGTAGTTGCTATGTATGGCGCCATCAATGATGCTAACACTATCGAAGAGAAAGTCACGATGCTTAGATTTATGGATGAGAAAGTATCGCGATTGCTCAAAGCGGAGCTTACTCCACTTATGAAAAAGAAGTTATCAGACGTCTATAAGGAAGTATGTTGGCCTCGTATGCACAATGTTCTCAAAGGATTTATAATCATTTCGAAATTGTAGATGCTAATCTCATCAACCCCTGATGAAATTGAGATTGTGCTCCGATTTATGGGGAAAGCAACGCAGATCAAGGAGGAGGAGAAGTTGACCGTCTTCAGAGAAGCTATGGACGAACTTGTTGAGAAGGGAATCGCATTTGATGGGGTTTGTGCGTCTTATCTACTATTTAGTAATTTTTGATGATTTTTTTATAGGAGAATGGTAATAACAGCGCTGATTTCATTTCTACAGTGAACAACGTTGTAAAGATTGTGTTGATCCTCAGTGTAACGAAAATTTATCACTTTCATAGTCAAAATTGTTGAACGTATTCAATTTAGTCCGCTGGACGCTCATATAAAATGCCAAAAAAGATGACAAACTACTTGTTCTCGAAGTTTGGGAAAATGCGCTTGATTCACGCTTCGGATAGAAAGGATATAATGAAAGTGAGGTTTTCCTCATTGTTTCGTGCAAGGTTTATTATCTATTTGAGGTCCTTGCTTCCGTTACGTACCTTGGCAATTATGAAGATCCCGATGATTTCTCTTGTGTTATCAAGCTCTTTGATTATTTGAGGGTATGTGTGCTCCTTTCATTTGAGAATAATTTTGCAGAAAGTTTTGTTTATCTTTACGTAATTCTACTCCTTCCACTTTTACGTAGCAAGTTTTGCTTTCAGAGTATGCTTCCCAATTCTCGCCCCATCGATCCGGATGCAAGTGATGGCTACGTTGATCATGTAGGCTTTTTGATGATTTTTCTTTGTCAGAGTCTTGATGAGATTTACAAACAAACCTTAGAGCGATCAAGGGTGGAACATTGAGTTTGCTGAGCTAGAGCTTGTCTTCGTTGTCATATTCAGTTTATTACGAAGACATCGATTTATTGCTGAGGAATTGATGGCAGTGGGAGATATTTGGAAGCCGAAGTAAGTAGATCTCATGTTGTCCCAACTGTGTTGCGAACTATTCGTTGTTCAGGTTTCAGTATCTCGTAAACGTCATAAGAGTTATCACTCAGCGCTTGAAGCGAAAATTGGACGAAGAAGGTGGGAGTGACGAGGAGCAATCAAGGAATACCAAGCTCTTGTTAGTAGCTAATAATGTGGGGTGAGTGGATCTCGTATTTATAATCCTTGCACAATCTTTTTAAAAATTCTTTTGTTTTCAGCTTGATCGCAAACTGTTTCTTGGTGAATATCTGTGACTTACATATAGAAATTTTACCATCATGGTCACAATCGCAAAAACGTCGTTGTGAGTACTCCCGCTATGATTGAATTCTTCACACGCTCAGGCTTTGTTATCCTTGCTTACAGTTGCTGTTCGACACAAATCGCCTACGAAAAGAAGAAGGATAGCATGACGCGAATTAGTATGCTCAACAGTACTGCCTTCAATCTCACTTGCCGTAACTAAGTTACCCGTCTCATCTATCCCCTTGTCTCCATACCAGGTTTGCTTGTTGATGCATTTCCAGTATAAGATCTGATCTTGCTTGGCTAATAGTCTCAGCTTCATATACGTTTATCATATTCAAGCTATTTAGTATTGTCCAAAAATCTATTTATATCTAATTTTTTGTATGTTGCCTAACTGGATCTTTGAAATACTAGTCCTTTGCATAGTCTGTATATACTGTACCTCTTTATTAAGTTTCGCATTGAATACTCACAAAATCTCATATGTCCTTTTTTTGCTGCTGATAAATGACTACGTAGGCGATAATAACTTAGAATTCCGACTTGCTCGTACTATATTTGTTACAATGGTGAACTTCATAGTGGAGTCTACCCCAAAATTTATGTGCACGCTAGAGCATGGACAAACTATAGACGATTTGTGACACGCATGGACTGAGCGCCGTTGCATCCGGCCAGAATAGTTCGTGCAAGGGAGAGACACCAGATAGTAAGAGAAACGAAAGAGCGCTCGATCAGAGAGAAGCCAATAAGTCCGCAGTCTTCGCGTGCTACGAATCGCCTATACGAGCTGTTGTCTTCTTTTTTTGCGAGGTTGTGTCTAGACTTGCGCGAGTTCCGGCCTTGCGCCAAAGACCTGCACGTGGGCAGTTCTTGACGCAGTCGGGAGTACTATGTGTCGTGCATCCCCCAGAATTTTTCTCATATGAACTTCAACGTGGCTTCCTATCGGTCATTCTAAAGCGTCAACTCCAGCAAATTTGAGGCGCTTATTCGAAGTTGATATGTTAGAATGATCGAAAGGCAGCCGCGTTGATGGTTCGTGGGAACATTCTGGGGATGCATCGTATCTCATTGTCAGTTGTGCGTTTGCAAAGGTGTTTATAAGAAGCACCATATTAAAGAGGCCTTTTGTAAACAACCTTCAATCCCCGTGAAAGGGATCATTGTCAAAATTTCTGATGTATGGGGGCAAGAGCGGAGCCATCATCGAAACCAGTCCAATTCTTTCAATTTTGTGTTCTATTTTATTGCCTTGTTATAACCACTACCTCGCAGAATTCTTCCAAACCCGTTCCTGTCGCATTCAGAGCTTATCGATCTGGTAAACTAAAGCAGCAACATAATATAATTTATTTTAGACTCGTAGAACTTGACACAGTGAATGTTATTCAAGCACATAACTCTTTGAAAATGACTGTAGTCATGGCACAGCGTTGAAAAAGCATAAAGTCTAAGTTACTAAGGTTAAGTATTTGGTTGTACAAACAGAATTGGGCTTATTTCAGGAAGCGCAATGCCATAGTCATGAGTTGACAGTAATTTAATAGTCTGAGATTTTGAAGCAATGCAGTATATGTTTAAAAGAACCGGAATCATTTGCACAATTTGACAAGCAGATAAATGAATCGTATAATATGAATCACCACCACCTTGATCACAACATTCTCAAAGCTCTGAGGAACCCTCTGCAATGGCTGAAGTGATGCATAGCACATGAGAAACGTTCGCCTATGCGGTACGTTTTTGTTTGCTCATCACAAAGCTTTCTTCGGCTCGTCGCACTGCGCTCGGAATCAAATGGTCGGTTTTCGATCGATAACATCCGAGAAGTTTCTCACAATGCTCTTTTCCGCTTGATATCGCATCCATCTGGAAAAGAATAAACATAGCATGCCAATATGACAGGTTGCCCAAATGCAAAAAAAAAAATAAAAACAACATATCTGAGTTTCAAAACGGTAACAAATGTATAGAAAAAAAAACAAAAAAGTTTACGCACACTCATGAGCAAGTCATACACTGTTTCATCTGGTACTTGTGAATCATGCTTGTACGCTGGATGCTTATCAACGAAATGTCGTATCCAATGAGCTAGCGTCCAGATCTCACCAGTAGCTCGCTTCTAGAGAGGAGAAGATATTCTGGTGAAAGAGAAACAATCAAAGTAGTATGGCCAAAAACTCACCGAGATGAAGTTCAGATACTGCGAGATCGTGCAACGAGTGTCTACATCTACATCAGCGCTATCCAAGTATTGCCTGATAAGTGGGACAAGGCCGGGAAATCCTTCGTCTTTGCCTAAATTTTGGAAAGTAAGATCCTATTTGAGCGCTGCGGAGCTAACCATTTATGATTTCATTGATGGTCATCTCGCCGATCTCATCGCTTGGGGCACCACATTGCGGAGCTCCTTTGAGATTCTCAGGAGCTGAGATGCACGTGGCCAGACTTTTTCTGAAAATACATGGGGGATTTCCATCAAGACATTATTGGAGAACTGGCTAGTCACGAAGAGACCTGAATAAAAACTTCTCGTTGATGACAGCATCCCTTTTCTGTGCTCGCTTCATATTTTCAGTGACCATGGAGATGGGCAATAAATAAGTGAGGCGGAATGAGATTATGACCCTAAAAACGAGGAATTTGAAAACTCAGACATCTCCAGTGGTGTACTACAAACAAACCTAGTCAAAAGCACAACAAAACAACAATAAGCAGCATTTTCGAAGTCGGTGAGCTGCACCTGAAGATAGTTAGAGTTGGTCAACAACTATACAAACCTTTGCCTGTCAAATTACTACAGTCAAAAGACAAGGGATTACTTGGAAAGATATGTCAAAAATAGCTGACTAATATTCTATGACTGCTTTCTATCTCGTTGTTATTTGGTACCTCAGTTGGTCTGAACTCCACTCGCCAGCCGATCTCAGAGGCATCAGGTGGTGGTGGCTTGAACCGCATGTTCATCCAGTTTGAAGATTGAATCGTTTCGAAGTGCTCTGTAGACTTTTCGTCATCTTGTTCGATCCGTTCGCGGTACACCTGAAGCAAGAGAAACTTGACAAGAATAGATTATCTTTCAAATTTGAAGTTCATTCAAAAGAAGGGCTAAAACGCGGCAACAGGCAAAATGCCTAACTGCGACACCCTATGTCCCAAATAGCGCTGAACGCACGGGCCAACCGCATTTGTTCGGCGAATTACAAAAAAATGCAAAATTGTCATGATCAACACATTAGCATCATAAAAATTTATGCTTAAGATCGAGCCCGACATTTTTTTTCACGTCAAAACAGAGAGATTCGTGCAAAAATTTACTTCTACCATAGTAGTGGCACTTACTCACCTGTAGTGGATCTCTTATAAACATATGAGCAATGTGTTTAGCCAATGGCTCATCGATATCTCCATCTCGCAACTGTCTAAACAAAAGTAACGTATTTTTTCAATAAAATGTTGACATAAGAGATTTGAGGAAACTGCGCAGGCGAATATGAAAGATTGAAACTGTCAGCGATACTCCACTTACTGATAGATTGCTTCATCATACTGTAGCGGTATGTCGTTGTAAGCCACTGAACATGGATAGATGTAACAATCAGTAGAATCATAACGACTCTTCGCAATCCTCCATTTCGAGTTCTTCAGCGGCACGAGCCCTCTTTCCTCGGCCGTTCGATCATCCACACTCTGGGATGTCATAAATCTGACGCAAAAACCGAGCTTTGAGAACGTCATACCGCGCTAATAATATCCCATCGTGAGTCAACATCGGCCAGTTTGCTCCGAAAAATAGGCGTTGCGGCTGATAAAGCGAGAAGGATGGGAGTGATAGGAGTGAGTTGATCGTATAACCATCGTGCTTCTTCTACATTTACGGCTTGGAAAGTTACCTGTATCGACAGAGATCAAAATCTTTGAATAAGGACAAAAGGTAATGGAATAACCTGTAAGCAACAGCATCCCATACCAAAACCCATATGATCCATATAGATGTGATCTGGCTTTGCAGCGCTAATCATGTCGCCCTCACCAAGAGCACTCAAATCTTCCTGAAAGTAGAGTAGGAGCAGATAATTATTAATCAAAACAGGATAAAAGGAGCAGAAAAAATTGCCATATATCAAGACAACTGAGAAGACTTACTATATATGGATTCGGCGTATTTTTATCCCTAAAAATCGGCACATTGATGACAACTTTTTCTCCTCTGCGACCGCGAATATTATTCACGAGGTTTTTGAATCTGGAAGATTATACTCAGCTACGTGCAGCTACAGGAGCGTAAAAAAAGCGCAAATAAAAGCTATGCATGGTACAAAACTAGCACCAGTACTTACCTCGGATGTCCACAAAATACGGCGTCTTCAGGCCAAAAGATGCTACGTCCGGGACCATCCTCTGCCGGTGTCGGCTTCATCGGTGGAGAAGTAAAGTCAGGGACGCCAAGTGAAGGGAAGGAAATGGAAAGGACAGACTCACCCTGAAAAACGAAAGTCTACCGAACAAATGAATCTAGAATGCATACCTTTTTCAGCATTTTGTGCACTTCCTTGCGACGCACAACCATATTTGCTTCGACAACGTTGAAACATGCTAACAGTCCTGAAAGTAAATAGACTAAAAAATGCCTCCTCTGATCAAGGACATGCAAACCTCCATAAGGTACGCCTGGAGTTCCCTCAACCATGTAGGCTGCGAATTCTGGTCGCCATAAAAAGTGATTTACAGTACCGATCAAAGCATTGACCTGAAAGCAGAGGTAGGTCTGTACTGAGATTACAGCGAGAGAGTATAAGCTGTAGACGCAGAGAATGAACAAGCTGCGTCCACTGCCGCAACGAGGTTGCGAATCCACTGAGTGAAAGAGTACGATGATGAAACTTCGAAAAGTAAGTCAAAGGAAAATATCTGACACCGACAAAGAGGAAGAATGTTCCAAACCTCTTCTTGAGCTTGCAGACGCGAGAGCAATTCTTCGGCACGACATGACACCCTGACCTATAACTATTCAAATAAATCAAGGCAGCAACAACTCGCAAAACTCCGTACTTTTTTATGTTCGTGATCAAATGCCACAACTGTGTATTCAATCTCGTCGCCCCATTTCAGCTGATCCCCTTGGCGATTTTTCAAACGATGATAGAGGTTTATGAACTGGTAGATGCCATGCTTCTGAAAACGTGATTTTAGATCCGACGTTGCATTTCCACATACACAATAAAAACAATCATAGCACTAGCGAGCGGATCATCTATCTACAATAAAGCTCTCTGCATCGCTTCTTTCAACCAACTCATTTCCAGTGAGACTATGAGGCTCCGGCCAGACCTCGCTCAAAAGCGCTCCAATGCGCCCAAATTTCTCTAAACCCTCCTCACTTTCCCTTATCTTTCCTCCCACGAAAAAGTGAAGAAAGGCCAAAGAAATTTCGAGTTGAGCGCTTTCCAGCAAAATCTGGCCAGTTCCTGAGAGTGTTATCGATGCGTAGCCATCGCTGGCGTTTAGGCTGGTTAATATTTTGATAATATCGTCTTTCAAGATATATTTTTGGAAGCACCAAATCAAGAAAATTTCAACGATCAGGAGCCCTCGGAGCCGACTGTTCTGTGTATGAGTCACTTCTTCACTTCACTTGGGAACGTAGACTGCGCGTGCGCGATAGGCCGGCGCAGTAAATTGCGGTCTCGACAATGTCAATTCACCATTTTTATCCTACCACGTCATGGTACCAATTTACCAATATCGGTGGAAATACAGGGCTTTTTTCACCTTCCAAAGTGATTTTTTGGTTTCGCCAATCACAGAAAAAGTGTTTGTGCAAACTCGCAAAAGTATTTAATCCGATTTTGTGACAAGCACAAACTGATTCAGGCGAAAAGATTAGATTCCTTAGTATACCACCAGGCAAGTGATTACCAAGCTCTTGCACGACCACTACACATAGAAAGCCCTAAAAGCAATGCTTTAAAGGCAAAAGTCGCGCTCCACCGCTAACATTGAGAAGTTCTGCATTTGCACAAACTTGACGCTGGGTATGATGCAGGCTCTATCTGCTGCAGTTTTTTGTGTGCGTCATTGTAATCGCGCTAAATCAAGCTCAACAAATAGAAGAGGGAATGGGTAGAGCATACCTTAATATACTCCAGATGAGGCACGGTTTCTGGCCAACTGAGAGGGCTTCCCTTCGTCAGTAGCCCCATACCCTGAAAATAAACCCTTTTTATAATGTTATAAGCAGCTGAATCGGATTTGCATAAGTGCTTAGCAACAGAGAAGCCGTGGACGAAGAGCGAAATGATTGGCCGCGATGACGACACTCGCCGCGCTTGCGACCTCTCAAGTCCGTGCGCGATGTGGACGAGTTCCACAAGGAGTCAGCCGAGGATCGTGTTTTTTTCTACGGCGGTCGCGAAGCTGGGCGGTGCGCTTGCATGCACAGACGGTAGCAGTGCGTCTGGCAACAGCTTCGATCGACGCCACCCGTTTTCTGATTACACGGCTTTTATATTAACGAATTGTCATCATCTTTGTACATTCTAGAAATTGTAGCATTTTTCCTATCGCCGAAATGGAGCAGCTGTTGGTGACATTTTCGTTGCAGATCTTTGCTTGGACCGTTTTAAAGTGTACGTTATTTACACAGCAGTTGTCATCAAACTGAAGTGTTAACTTTCTTTTTGCGAATTTTTTCATTCGTTTCACTGATCAGTGCTTGGCGATCTTTGAAATGGAAGATCTTGCCAAATCACTTTTGAAAATCCCTATCGTAAGTTTGTTTGAGCGAAGCAAACACTTTATTAGCATATCATCGCTAGTACGTAGTGCTTTCGATTCGCTTGACTTCCTATTTGCACACAACGTTTCCTTTTCTTCAAGCTTAATCCGTGTGTGGATTCAATCTCTGTATATATCGTACTCGAATTTTTCCCGTCTTGCTTCCGGCATGCTAATGTAATATGTCCACCACATCGGTTTTTCTTCTAGCGCTCGAACCACACTGGGTTCATTGGTCTGGTATTTTTGACTGGATACTGCAAGATGCCTCTGAGTTGTGCACGGACAGCGCTCTCCGCATTGGAACGTTTGAAGGCAGTGGGTCAGCAGAATGGACCCTTCTCGGATTTTGGCGGATTCAGGTATCGTCGTCTCCCCGGTGTACGTTGGGCGGAGCTTTTGCGGACATTTCAACACGTTCGTAAACTTGTTAACCCTCTACTACAAGGCATTGTTTTTTGTGATCCCTCGCTACCAACCTTGCCACGTGTGACAACAGCATATAAACGTGGCAGGTTAGAGAGTACAAAGAACCATGCTTTGAAGTAGAGGCTTGATAAGTTCACCAACGTGTTGAAATGTCCGCAAAAGCTCCGCCCAACGTACGCTGGGGAGACGACGATAGTAGGCTCCTCAAGTACAATGTAGCCCAAATCCCACATGCCGATTCATGCGCTAAGTCCTGAAAAGTGCCCTCAAAGTTCCGCCAGCCCCGCCCACTCAGTGGAAAGAGGCGGGGCTGGTGGAACTTTGAGGCGCATTTTAAGGACTTAGCGCATGAATTGGCATGTGGGGTTTGGGCTACAGTGTACTTGGGGGCCCTACTACCTGAATCCACCAAAATCCGAAAAGGGTCCATTCTGCTGATCCACTGCCTTTAAAGTCTGTCTCGGCGGAACTTCCAGATTTTTACCTTTTCGAAGCCTTCTTGCCACAAAGAACCTATATCTTGGCTTTTCAGCGCATGAAAATGGCGGAAATGAGTTTTTTCCAAAGCTTTCCAGGGTTACCATCTAGTAGAGAGTGCGCGGGACTGGCACGAGGGAGGGGCCGGGGGCGGCTTTTCTTATCTTCACTGTATGCAGACGTAAAAGTTTGAAAAAGCTCATTTTCGCGATTTTCTTGCGTTAAAACCCAGACTCCCTTTACCTCTCAAATCATCCATTTTCGTCCTTACACTGCGCTTGTTATTTGTTGCGTCATCTAAGCTGAAAAAATGTTCCATTTAGTCAATGTCCCCTAAAGTTTTTGCTAAGTATAAATTCGCTATTTTCTGATCACATGCGTGGTTTGGCACATTCATCATCATCTTTTTCCAGTGAAGAATGTAAAAATGTTCATCATCTCCTGTCCATGGTTATTTCATGTGAGTGAAGGGCAGTGTGAAGACAAATCTGAAAGTATTTCAGCAAATTGCTCAGGCTACTAATTTGATCTGTACAGGTCGAGAAATCTACCCCAAACCTCCACCCGTACCGTATTCGTGCGGACCAGTCGGTATCCTCGAGTGCAGTACTGACGAGAGTCCAGAATGAAATTTTTTAGCTTCAACGAAATCCTTTGAGCTGCTTTTTGAGACCAAGAGTCTTCCTAATAATATCCAGATATTCAGAATTTACGTGGGCGTTGTATTTATGAGCGCCGGTACCTTTCAATCTTCTGCCCCGTTGATTCGAACATATGAATGAATCTCCTCTTTTTTCAAAAAGATGGCTTGGTATAATAGTGACTGACACCTGTCAGCATTCCAATGTCTATTACTTATGATTTAATTCTTGGTGCAACAGGATCAGCACTTGCAGAATTGATAAGATGTGGCAGGGCTTATATGTGACATTTTCCTTTCCATGTCCTCGTTTTTTCCGCAACATGAACTTAAAGTGAACGATGGTATCTTGCCTGTCAGACAAATATTCGTTTTGTGTACTGACACTGAGCTAAGACGCCGCAAATGTTTCGTCTTTGCGAAAAAAGGAACTATGTTGACAAAGTTCTCTTCCCTATGATGACTAGTTCCTCTTTTTTTTTCGAAAAGGTAGATGATTAACGCTAGGAAAGTTTTATACGTAGGCAGTGACGTAAAACTTTACCGATGTTGTCTTGGGACTGAATTATCATCATATCTACATCATCAAAAATTTTAGATCAAAGTCATCGAATATAAAATTTTTGAAGCCTTGCATTTTATTGCTGGTTTTTCATTTTTTTGTAGAAATCTTGTTTTTTTCTGCTAATGTATAGTACTTTTTTCCTTCGCAGAATGGAGGTTTCAATCGTTGAAGGTTTGTTTGCTATGTGTCTGGAATTTTTTGTATCTGTTCTTATCGGACTGCTCATCTCATCATGATAGCGGAAGGTGACGTTTGACACATTGAAGAGCTATCAAAGTAGTGAACTGTCTTTATTTGCTAGTATCATCTTTTAAGCATGACACTTTAGTCTTTGAAATTCTGAAGTTTGTACGCGAATTTGAGGTCTAATCTGAAAATTTTCGGCTTTTCCCCAAAATGCATAATTGGAGACATGCACCCTGCTGCGGGCCTTTCTGCTTCGAAATGTCCTCATTTTTGGCTGTTTTTCTATTTTTTCTGTTACCACTCGCTGTCGCGAAGGTCATTTGCCGCCGCCCTCTAGAACTTTATGGTGAAAATGCACCATCGATTCTATGAAGGCATTTGTTCTTCACGTCAGGAGAACGTTTCTATGGTGTGATTAGCGCTCAATCATAAATTCTCTTATGTGTGCGTTTTGACGGGAGAGCTTTTACACTTCTTGGCTCTGCCATTAGCTAATCACTCTCTCACTGTCAAGATTTTTATCTAAAATGTAACTCTTTACCAAAACTTAGTGAACAAAGTGAATCTTGGAATACGAAAATTGAGTATGTAGCAGAGTCGATCCCAGAAATGTGGTCGAAATTCCCTTGGGATGTTTTAAAAATTTGCAGACTATTACTAAAAGTTTTAGATAAAGAGTCATGGTTTTAAGACTTTTCCACAAACTTGAAATAAGTGGGTTTGTTTTCTTTAACTTCATCAATCAAAAACATTTGCTTTGGAAAAATTTTCTTGTAATTTCGTCGTTTGTGAAGACCACTCTCAGAAATCTTCGATCCTGTTTGGTGCCGTCGCTGGTTAATTACATAGTGACCGTGTAAGGACCAAAAAATAATGTGTTGTGAGATTACATGAATCTAGCATAGAACCTAGGTTTTCTGATTTGTGACTTTTTTCCAAACTTGCAAGTGCTGAGACACTACTCTCTGACATTTTGTGCTGTTTTCTTAATTTTCTTGATTCGGCAAAAGTTGATTTTATGGCGAAAATTGTATAATACTGGCAGTAGAGATGTACCCTGTCCCCATATTTTTTCCAAAAGTGCGCATAGCTCCCTTCCACGCTTTATTGGCGGCATCTGCAATTGCTCATATGTTTGGAGCTTTATAGCACATTTGCGATGATAAGTGCTTCACATATTTGGATTAATCAGGTGTATCCAGCTAATGCATGATGCTTGTCATTGTTTCCGTTAAAAACATGTTTGGACTTTTTTCAGAATAACTTGAGCTTTTCTCTCTGAATTAGAGCTGCCCATCCTAATTCACTGGTTTGTCTTTTCCAAACTTTTTTTTTTTGAATTAAAGGCAGTGATGTTGGAATTCTGCGAAGTATTGAAGTCAAAGATTTTTAGGAAAAAGCGCTTGCTGGACTTTTCTCGTCAATAGTGCAGATGTACGGAATGTGTACTGAGCTCTAAGCCTCACCAGCTCACTTTGAGAAAAACAAGAACGAAAATCTCGCATTACTAGTGAGAGAGCAGGCGTATTCTATAATACATCCTACTTCTTGCACAAGTGCGTTAGAGAGTGGGTATTCATAATCTCAGTGTGTGCAGAAATCGATTGCGCAGTGCCATAAAGTTTTTTGCCAGGATCGGCGTTCGTTGAGAACGTCTGGTGCCCATTTCTATAGCGTATGGCGATACTGTAGCCGGCGCAAAAGTATTCCCACAGATTTGTTGTCATGTCTGGACGTATTGGCAATTGTTCGATCAATCCAGACATATTATTCTCGCAATTCCTCTTTTGCGTCGATTGTGATTCTTTTGATAAATGTAAAGGCTCAGATTGATGAGTCATATTTGCAATGATTCATTCAGCTGTCTAGCAGTGGTGTGATTCTTTTCTTCTTCCTTTTTTTCGCCATTTTATGTAAACTTGTTCTGACCTACCGGAACTCGTCAGAGTTCGTTTACTAGTATTATTGGATTATCTGAGTAATTTTATCATTCCAGGTAACTAGCTCGGGTCATTTACCGGCTGGCATTGTATAGGGATAGGGCTGTTCCGCTGAAGATCTGAGGTATGTCGCTACTTTTCCCGAAGAAAGGCAATTTTTGTCGATTTATGGCTTCCCATTAGAAGGATTCAGATTTTGCAATGTAGCTGTTTCACCTTTACCGGACCTAAATATTTCATTGTTCGAATTTTATAGGCGCAAAGAGGCTTTCTGTACATAAGTAATACTCTCTGTTACATATTTATGAAAATATCCTTTTTAGTTATAACTGTTTCCTTTTTTTTGAGAGAGAGAGAATCCTCATGAGAGTTTTTTTTTTGTTGAATCCATCATGATTTATTTTCAGGCAAAATGTCAAAGTTTCCGGCTTGCGGACTCCCGCTTCGTTCAATCGGCGGTCTCCGCCATGGTGTGGCTGCCGTAAGCGCAGCTAGTCTTTCGCTTGCTCCTCAGAGGTTAGCTACTACCAATTCCTATGGGCTTAACACAAAGTGCCTGTGCTGGGCAATCTCCGCACAATCCGCCACCTAGATACTCTTCTATGTATTGCTTAAGTCGTACGGCTTCAACATCACGATTGTCACCATTGTTTGGAAGTCCACCAAAGCCGGTCCTACATCGTCCAACTGCTGTAGTACGTGGAATACGATTGTTTTCATCAGGTAAAGTCCAAAAAATTACTAGATATTTTGCGACATATGCTGCAGAAAGATCAGGCTGACTATAAAGCATTGATTCATTGTAATATATGCTTGCGCTAGGCCGCCGCCTAATTATTTGAAAAAGAAGAACATCTGCGGTTGTCCTGGAAGCAAGAAAAATCGATAGGGCTGAGGTTCTATCGACGTAGTTTTTGTAATAGCTTGATGTATCGAAAGTGCATGCATACGCTAAAGGGGCTCGCTCAGCCGTAGTGGACTTATGCACTTAGAAATGATGAGATTTTTCCGTTTCGGGTATGGGGCGTAGAAGCTTCGTGACAACTGCAATCTTTTCAAATCCGAACGTATAAAGGAAGAAAACTTTTTCCTAGTCGAATGTTTTTCATATACTTTCGCATTGCTCCTTCCTAGGTTTGCAATAATGATTTTTTGAACCAAACAGCTCAAAAAAGCTATACTCAAAAATCAAACCTAAAGCTCAATGTATTCATTTTTTTCTATCGAAGCATTGCTCACCCAACTTGAGGGTCAGAGAGGCGGTACAATAGCGCAGACCTCTAACTGAATAAAGACTCAAAGCCTTCTCATAAAGTGGATTCAGAAGCGTAAAATTCGCTACTGAAGGTAGGAACACTGACGACTTCGCCCTTCAACGTGTGAGTTTTGCAAACAGTGAGTTCGAATCTCGACTTTAATGTATCAGAAATGTCGGGAATCTGGTTATCGTAATGGAAAGCGGATTTTCGGCAATAGGTGCATTGAAGCCCAATCTGAAGCTCATTGTTTGCAAAGCTCCCTCGTTGATGGGCGTAGTCACTAGTGCCGCTTCTATTTTCAGAAGCAGATTTCTCGATTTTGAGTTTAAATTTGCAGCGAACTTGGGCGGGCTCTTCAATCAATATACATCAAAATCCCACCCCCAATTTTGGGTTATTGTGGATGTGTAAGCCTTTTTGGCATGATTATCAGCCTTTCTGCCAAAACACTCTGGAGTTTTTGTTGTAAGACTAAAAAATAGGATCAGAAGACTATTTCTATTCCTAGTTAATGATATGTACGTACGGGAGCCAATCGCATTAGTAGAGTATACCAAAGCAAACTCTGCATGTTGTAGTAATGCGTGACGTTTCACGTATCAGTTGGCATATTTTTTCCGGAAGTTTTCTATATTGCGTTTGTCTAGTGCAGTCAGCTGTACTAAACAGAGCTATATAAACTAGTAATTAGTGACTTATCAAAAATTTTAGACAGCCTTCCATCACATAAGCGTGTGGCGTTACCAGCTTTGTCTCCTACTATGGAGCAAGGCACAGTGGTCAGCTGGCAAAAGGTACGATGCATCAGCCATTGTTTGAATGTTAAAGAAGTGTTTTTATTATAGAAAGAAGGAGATCAACTAGGCGAGGGTGATTTGCTATGCGAAATAGAAACAGACAAAGCGACGATGGGTTTTGAAACACCAGAAGAAGGATACTTGGCCAAGATCTTGATTCCTGAAGGCACCAAAGATGTCCCTGTTGGAAAGGTATGTTGCAGTTTGATTTTAGAAAATGTGGACGATTATTGTTGATTCAGCTGCTTTGCATCATTGTGGAGAGCGAAGATGACGTGGCAGCATTCAAAGACTTCAAAGACGAAGGTGGAGCGGCTCCACCGCCTAAAGCGGCTGCACCACCGAAGGAGGCTCCAAAGGTAGGCTTGTGTTTACTCTCATTATCTTTAGTTTAATCGTGACTTCTCGTTTCGTTTGGTTTTTACGCAGTTTTCGAGAAACTCTAGAAGCGTGTGTACAACCTCTGGAGTGGTTTAAACTGCAAGAAAAACTTGTCGGCTGTCAAACCCTTGCAATGTCATATTGCTAGGGTTCAAGAGCCGGCGCATATGTTTTGCAATTTTCGCTTCTTATACATTCTTATCTTTTTTGGTTGTATAGATCACAATTAAACTAAGAAATCAGTGTTGCGTTCAATTATCTCTTCATTGTTAGCATAGTGTTGCTTTTTTCAGTCATTATCATGAAACCTAAATCTAAAACGTGAATTACTTTTTTTTTGCAGGCAAAGAAGTAGTTTGAAGGTGTTTTGAAGAGGAATAGTTTGAAGAAATCCTGTAGAGATCTGACATGAGCATTTGTTAATTGTTTTTTTTTGTGTTTGAGTAAACGTAAAATTAGTGTAATGTGTGTAAGGGAGTAGGCGGTGGAATCATAAACGTGGTTCAGGTTAGAAAAATAGTTCCTTTTTGCCATGGTGGACCGAGGGAGGGGTAACTTCCTTCCCTCCTCCAGGAATGGGCTGCGAAATTTTCCATAAGTTATCATCGGCTCCCAGATTCGTGTGGAGGCGGGTTGCGGACCTCCCTGACTTTCAGGATAAACTTGTTAAAGCTCCTTGTTATAGCATTGTATTTCGTACTCTCTCGTCAAGCTATCCTTGAAATCAGGGAAGTCCGGTAGCCTTGTAGAAAACTTCTTTCGTGGGCGTGGCTGCCGCTACCCCCCCCCCCCATTCTGCAATCTTATGGTTGCAGGGCCGCAAAAATTTTGAGATCAATCCAAAAATTTCTGGAGTGCGTGGTCAAAACTACCTTCATTTGAGAAAAATTTTTGTCCCCGTAGACAATTTCTCGATACGTTCTGGCTGTTAAGGCATTATTACCCAGTTTTCTCACAGTCTTCCCGTATCGCTCTCGGCATAACGAGATCTGGTCTCACGCATTTTATATTGGACATTTTTGCAGCTCAGTTTTTGTGTAGTCACGTTTCTGATCCAGAACTGCTTGTGTTTCGTGAAGTGTGCTGCTGTGCCAAAATTTTTGTTTTGTTTTTAGCGCACTGATGGAACGCTCTAGCTTCAAGCTACTTTTTTCTTGAAACTAGTCCAGACCATCTGGCTAGCTTCACATATCAATCATGTATGAAAACCGATCGAGTTTGTTCGCTTTTTTGAGCCGTACTTTGATGTATAAGGCCTACAAGAATTTATCTTAAACAAGTTTTCGTTAGTGTCAATGATGTTTATGCTAGTTGTAGTTCGAAGCCTATCTCTGAGTATTTTTCCTGTGAATTGTCGCACTTCCGATTCTGTAGTTAGCCGTTTACAGGAAGCTGCTGCGCCACCTCCACCTCCACCTCCTCCACCACCACCAGCTCCGACTCCACCTCCGGCAGCTGCCGCTCCTCCTCCACCTCCTCCACCGCCCGCACCTGCCCCAGGCGGACATGTGAGTGCTACACCATTCGCAAAAAAGCTTGCTGCTGAACGTGGCGTTGATCTCAGCGTGAGTGTTTTAGTTAGCATTTTTTAACGCTGATCGAGTTTTTTACTAACACAAAGTTTATAGGGAGTTTCTGGTACCGGACCAGGAGGACGCATCCTCGCTGCTGATCTTGAAGGCGCGCCAGCTGGAGGAGCTGCCGCAGCGCCAGCTGTTGGCGGAGCTCCGGCAACACCGGGTGCAGCCTTTACTGTAAGTTTAAAAATTCATGTTTAGTATGGCTTTTCGAAGCGTTATTTTTGAAGGACATTCCTTTGTCTAACATGCGACGTACTATTGCTAAACGTTTGTCGGAGAGCAAGAGCACAATTCCACATTATTATCTGACATCTGAAATCAATATTGACGCTCTGATCAAGTGAGTTTGCTTCGGTCTTTGAGAAATCAACATTTGCAATTTACTTATGCTTTTCTCTCAAAAAGCTTGTCATGATGTTTTCCCTGTCAAATAAAAAAAAATATTGTCTAGGGTTCGTGAAAAGCTGAATGCTCTCCTAGAAAAGGGATCCGCGGGTGGCTCTACAAAGATCTCCATTAATGATTTCATTGTCAAGGTTAGTTTTCTCTCTATTCTTCACGCTTTTACCTTTTTTTTGCGTTTTGGGATCATCGCTTATCAGCTTATCGTCGATTTTATTTTTCTCTTTTTTCCTGTAGTCATCCTTTACGAAGGTGTTTGCGTTATAGGCATCTGCGCTGGCATGCCTCCGCGTTCCTGAAGCAAACAGTTTCTGGATGGATACTTTCATCCGCCAGAATAACAACGTTGATGTAAGCGTTGCTGTCAGCACTCCGTCGGGCTTGATAACTCCGATCATTTTCAATGCTCATGCTAAAGTAAGGAATTGCTGTAACTCTGCTGGTTGCTTTTAGTCCCAAACATCTGCGATTTCAGGGTCTCGCCACTATCTCCGCTGAGGTAAAAGAGTTAGCTGCACGTGCAAAGGAAGGCAAGCTACAGCCACAAGAGTTCCAGGTCAGATATGGGATTTATTGAATTTCGCAGTTGAAAAACTTGGAAGTTGTTGATTCTTTTTCACTTCATAAAGCAATTTTTTAGGGCGGCACCTTTACGGTGTCGAACCTTGGCATGTTCGGCAGTGTTACTGATTTCACAGCCATAATCAATCCTCCACAATCATGTATCCTTGCTATTGGTGGAGCTGAGACGAAAATGGTTCCGTGCGAAGAAAATGGGTAAGATTCTTGATTGTTACCCACCCATGTATTTCCACAAGTTTTGTTTATGCCACAGAGTTTATGAAATACGGCGTAATTAGAATATCGAATATTTTTGGAAAGTAGAGTCAGTACTCCATGTTTAATTTTGGATGAAATTTTCAAAATCGAATATCGGAAGATCATAAATTTTTTGCATCGTCCAGAAGGCGAGTATTTGAAAAGAATTTCGAATTTTCCAAATGTGTAGTACTCCCATAGCATTCATCTGGTTATCTACCTGTTTTTGGTCTTAAGCAATAATGGCTCGCATTCATGTACAAATAGATAGAAATTGTATTTTTTTTCAGCTATCGCAGCGTCAAAGTGATGAAGGTAACCCTGTCATGTGATCACCGTGTTGTTGATGGAGCTGTCGGAGCTGTTTGGTTGCGTCACTTCAAGGAATTCCTAGAAAAACCTCATACGATGCTTCTTTAAAGGGAATTGAAGGCGAATGTCCAGTGAATAGTAATTAGGTTCTTTGGGTCATTGTTTTCTTTAATCTAGCAACATATTGTGGTTGTAGACGTTCTTTCGTCAATTATATGCGTCTATTAGATTTCTACTTGTAACCTTAAAATGACGTGTTTTGATCTTTGCAACATCCGTATTGCTTTCCTGTAGAAGTCTTAATTCTTTAGTTTTTCTTCTTTCACTGAGAGCTTTTTAACGAAACAGGAATGTCAGATCGCATGCTGAAAAGCACAGTACATGTCATTCACCGGTTTACTAGGTTAATTTTGTGTTTGAGCAGTCACAGACTATAAAGAAGTAGAGAATCTCTGATCTTTAATCTGATGACTTGAACTGACATTGTGTGAGATGCATGCATGACCGTCTATACATTGGTTGTACAGTTAGGAATTAGTCCTACCACTGCGTCCATCGTTGTTTTGTTGTGTTCTCGGTCATTCGAGAGGTTTTTCTTGATTAGTTGAATAGCAGAGCAAGTGTAGAAATAGTCAGTAGAGTTTAATAAATGTCTCATTATTTTTCTATTCATGCGAATTTTGATGTTGTAAGAGGCCATAGAGAAAAATTCTTTATTGGCTTATTTAATGTAATCACTGAGATGAGATCAACAGAATCCACATGACCTTGTACAATAAGACCTCATGTAGGCATAGAATCGTTCACTTCGACAATATGGAACCCAATCTGCGCAGCGATCAGCCCCGTCACGATCAAAGCAGACTGTAAGAGAAAAAAATGTTTTTATGCTGTTTTGTTTTTGTTTTATCCTGTTATCAATGTTTTTATCACAAATTTCTCAAAAAACTTACATCGAACCATGGCTGTTGGACGTCGTACATCGGGTGTAGGTCGAGTCGTACGAGTAAATTGAAATGGTACTGGACTAGGCCTGCAAGCACGCCATTTGTCATTTTTTAAATTTTTCAAAGCAATTTCAAAGTGTACCTGGGCTGAATAGTATTGATAAAGGATTGGCGAAATGAGGATTGTTCGGGGCGAATGAATGTGCTGGAAACATGATATAGCGACGTACGATACTTTATAGTTTTGAACTAGTGAGAATTTTTTTCCAACGAGAAGAGATGAGCGGGGAGGGGAGAATAGGTTACATCTCTTCAACCATTTTTGGCAGCTTTCAACACCCTCTGTCTTCTCCTCCCTTCAAACTTTACAAACACTTCCTGAGTAGATGTACTTACAAGGGAAGGATACTTGGTCACCGTGGCCATTTGCAATGAATTTGTATATCAAAAAATGCGTCCTTTAATGCTGGTTCGAATACTCTCTTCCATATCTGCGAAACGATAACATAAATAGAGTTATGGTTATTTTTGCATGAATAAACTAAGCTACTGTGGAGGGTAAAAATCATCAATAAAAACTTTTCTTCCCTTTCAAATGCTGAACATGATTTAGCTACTTATAATACAACAATATTCCTTTTAAGATTCTCCTCAATAGCTTAAGACGGTAAAATAGACCAAACTGGGTAATTTTAACTATCCAAAAGTACGCAAATTTGTTCCCACTTCAAGAGTTTCTGGCTTGTTTGGGTTTCTTTCTGACGCAAAGTACCGGCAAAATACCGATTTTGATGGCTTACAATCATCCTCGAAGTTCCCGTAGGGAATTTACAGTAATGAAGAGCGATCGATGATTTGCTCCATAATGCAAATTTAAGTTGAACCTCGCTCTACAGAATGGTACTTTAAGCTCGACAAAAGACATGAACGCAGGAGAGTTATTAACGATCAAACAGTGTGCACATCTTTTTGGGACACCCTGTACATACTATTGAGCGTGAACAAAATATTAGGTTGGTCCGAAAGTTCGTTCGCACCATTTTCAAAAAATCAGAACTTCCTTTCCTCACAATGATTTTGCGCAATTAGAATTTTATTAGAAAGCATAAAGCATGTAGTTTCCAATAGTCTCCTGGAGACTTTCCAGCATGTTCAGATTGCAGAGATAAAAATGAAAAAACGAAAACATCCGAAATTCGGAATTTTTGAGAAATAATTCCAAAAATCTAGAAACTGCGCGATAAAATCCAGAAAAGCCATTTTCCTAATTTTTCTTATATTTGATTACTAACTGAGTTAAGTTTGTGCTGAACGAGCTCTTATTTCAAAAGTTATGATTTTTTGAAAAAAAAATGCCGAAAAATCAGTTTCTTAGGAATTCTTAGAAAAGTGATTTTTCGGAATTTTTTTCAAAAAATCATAACTTTTGAAAGAAGAGCTCTATCAGCACAAACTTAACTCAGTTAGTAATCAAATATAAGAAAAATTAGGATAGTGGCTTTTCTGGATTTTATCGCGCAGTTTCTAGATTTTTGGAATTGTTTCTCAAAAATTCCGAATTTCGGATGTTTTCGTTCTTTCATTTTTATCTCTGCAATCTGAACATGCTGGGAAGTCGCCAGAGGACGATTGGAAACTACATGCTTTACGATTTCTAATAAAATTTGAAAGGCGCAAAATCATTGTGAAGGAAAGAAGTTATGATTTTTTGAAAATGGTGCGAACGAACTTTCGGACCAACCTAATATATCCAAATGATAATATCATGGAATATTATTTGGAAGGAAAAATCTTTTGTGATACTGCATACATCAGGCGGTGCTGTATGTCTTTGAACCAATGCCGAATGATAAAAGTCTGTTTAGAAACTCCTATTCTTATTTGCAATCAGGGCGCGGCGGGGGTGGCGCTTTCACAAGCTGGATATCGTTTTTGGCCTGAAAAAGCAAAGGGGAAGTCGTATTTTGGGGTCCACAATGCACATATCATTCTTTATTCATCATTCCTTGTTGATGCTGCTGTCCTATGAACTTAGATTCCAGCAATGTGAAGATTCTGTGCTCCGATCGTAGCCTGCCCGCAGGCGGGAATTCAAACCGCATTTCTTGTAAGAGGAAAATAACAAAATAGGCTCGTTTTCAATGCACAAGTAACGATATGGCTCCAAATTTGCTGTGTAGTTGGAGGACCATGAGCACAAAAAAAGTATGAAGAATTATGAGAAACTTACGTGAATTTAAAAAATGGTAAGTGTTTTTGAAATTAGGTGGCCCCCGCGCCACCTGGGAGCCACCTGGGGTGGCTCCCTGCTTCCCTTCACATAATTTTCCGGATTTCTTTACATAAATGTGGACTAGGTCGAGAGTATTACTATATGTTCAAATCCGCTTCCAAAACCACAAAGGCACCGCTTCGATACAGCCCCAAATAGGGTTCACAGTGTTATGATCGGCCACGGAAAGCGCGCTCCAATCGCAATCGGTTATTGTAAATTGTAAAGTTTCGCAGCTGGCTAATAAATGAGTAGTATCTTAGATATATAAACGTCAAAGTTTGTGCAAATCTTGACCCTATGTTTTTTTATAGATTCCTTTGCGGATGAACCCATTGAGCTAAAACCTTGATGACCGGCTGGACCAGAAAGCCAGGTAGTACTACTATAATAAGCGCTGAGGCCGCCTATCTTATTATTTGTGTATATATGTTTGTCAGGGACTTACGGGGGTCAAAAGTAGGGTCAAAGGGGAAGACGTAAGAGATTTTGGCTTCAAAGGGGATATTTCAAAATTGTGAAATGCCACCTCCTGCCGTGGTGGTATTTCACAATTTTGAAATATAGGTTTGCAATATGTTGTTCCACGCAAGCCAATGGTTTTAGGCAAAGAAAAGAAGCCGGACCATTGTTTTGTAATTGAGAACTGGATGCGTATGATGGATACTCACGACACAAAATTTTCCAGGAAGCCGTTTAATTCAAGTTTTGCCAACTCATCATTCATGCTAAGCTAATGGCATACTTTGTGCTGTTTTTTCTGTTGTTGTAAAATTCATTCTGAAGCCAAAATGTGCACGGGGTGATGTTCTGATGACAAGAATGCAACTTTGAATAAAGGGAAAATCACATGTAAATATGTATCAGTCTAATTCTGAATGAACGCGGTGCGTCGGATCTTCACACTACGAGGAATTGAGCAGCATCACTTTGATAGAGGAAGGATGGTCCAGCTTTCTTACTGGGTTGGGCTATCAATATAGAAGAGGTTTAACCGCAGTTAGGTTAGGCCTCGGCAACGTTGACGGCGAAGGCGCGAAGACTGTACCCTATCAATTTTGATAGCAATTTCTCTATGTTAACTTTCCTACTCCGCCGTTTTCGTGATATAATCATAATTTGGATTAGTACGGATGAAGGTAATCGGCCAAACAAGGCAGAAAGTTCACTTGATCACGTCATCAGCGGACGTCATCGGATCAGTGTCCTGGTCTGACTTGACTACACAAGTAAACCTAGCGAGCTTATCACTAGATCAGTTAAACAATGACGTGGCACAAACATGTTAACGAGGACGCGATAGGTATAAATGAACAACATCTGGCAGTTTCTCTACAAGTCTTCTAAATAAGTTGGTGTCAGTCGCCAAGTTTCGTGGATGTCAAGAAGTCCGCTGGTGTTGAGAAGTCTTTTGAGATCGTTCTCTCTTCAGCCTTTCATATCTGGTTATTTTAAGGACTTATTTTTCCTTCAAAATTAATGGTTTGATTACCATATTGTCACGTACCTGATACATGTGCCGCATGGCTGGTGATAGTTCAATATGCAACAAATATGTTAGGTCGTTCAGAAAGTTCTTTCCGTTTTTTCATCCTATCACAAAAACACGTGAAACGAAGATAGGAAAACGCTTCAAGAACTACCCAACGCAGCTTTTCTTCCTCTTTTTGACTGTCGTGTTCCTATGCCGATTGCTCTTGTGATCGCTGAGATAATCGCCGTCATTTCGAACCCATGGTTTTTACATGTCCAACTTCGGCAATTTTTCACATCTTCATTTTCATCTCTTGGAAAGCTTTGACAGCAGTCAGATAGAGTAAACAAAGTGCAATGCAATGCAATTTTTTTGGCAATTTCAACTGGCTTCTCAGTGTTTTTTAAGATAGCTTTTCCAGAAATCTTCACTTTTTCGGTCACAAAATACACAAATGCTCCATTAACTCTTCGGAATTCGAAACTTTCAAAAGTTGATTATGATTGTCCACTATTTCCACAAAGTAACTGAGAGTTTACCTCTGCGAAATATAAGATTTCGCATTTCACGTGTATACCCCTAGGCGGGTTCAAAATCAAGAATTATGGAAATTTTTTTGCCAAAAACCCCACAAATTGGGGAGAAAAAACATTCATCAGAAAGAGGAGAAAAAGCTGCATCGAATGACGCCTTAGTTGTGCACCGTTTGTGTTCTATAGCTCTTGGCATTTCAAAGGTGGAACTTGATCGCACCATAAAAATAATTCTAAAATTTTTTGAAGGCTAGCTATAGATGCCGAAAAAACGTTATATTGCACTTTGTTACTCTATCTGACAGCTATCAAAGCTTCTCCAAAAGTCAAAAAGGGGACTGTGAAAACTGCCAAAGTTGGACATGGTAAAAACCATGGGGCCGACATTTCGGCGATTATCTCAGTGACCATAAAGTGACCGACATATGAGCATGACAGTTGAAAAGAGGAAGAAAAGCTGCGTCGTATAGTGTATGAAACGTTTGCCTATCTTTATTCCATAAGTTTTTATGATGGGTTGGAAAAACGGAAAGAACTTTCGAAACGACCTAATATACAGGGTGTCCCAAAAAAATGTATCGAACGTTTGATCGTTAATATCTCTCTTCCCAAGAAGTATTTTGCCTTGCTTCAGGTACCGTTTTGTAGAGCTGGCTTCAACTTAGATTTGCATTATAGAACGAATCACCCATCTCTTCTCATTACTGTAGGATTACGGGAGAAACTTGAAACATATGATGTCAATGTGGAAAAAGCTGCCATTTCAAAATTTTTCAAAAAATTGTGAAAACTTGTGTAATAGGGTTTTTATGGACGCTGAGTTCAATACTCAACTATTCACAAGATTACGAAGCTTTCTAAACGGTGTAATCGCACTTTTTAGGAACACTGAAAAAATGGCCGCTACCTCTTACCCAGCATAACTCTTCAATGGAGCATCATAATAAGTTAAGAACTTTACAGTTAGAATCAACAACTCTAATTAGTTTGGTGTAAAAGCTTTCAGGCTATTTTGTTTCTTTTCTGAGGCAAAATATGGCCTTTCATGGCTCAAAACCATCTTTGAATTTTCTACCGCAATCCTACAGTAACGAAGAGAGATGGATGATTCGTTCTGTAATGCAAATCTAAGCTGAAGCCAGCTCTACAGATTGGTACCTGATGCAAGAGAAAAGACTTCTTTAAAAGCGAGATATTAACGATCAAACGTTCGATACTTTTTTTTGGGACACCCTGTATTACACTGGCAAGTTTCACGCCTCCGGTAAATTAGACATTGTGTACCACTTCAATAAATTAACAAGAATAGTTGGTCAATTTAAATTAAGCTATTGAAGAAAACAGAGCGCTGCAGTTGCGCTTTCCCTAGACTACGTTAAAAATTATTCACAACTATAAATTCAATCATATCATCTTGCAAGTTTTCAGCCGCCTATGCAGCACATATTATTATCATCGCCATCTCATGCTAGAAGCGGAGGCGCACTGCCGATCTTTCAATTAAAAAGCTACCAAGCCTCAAAACATTATCGAGGTTAACGAAACAGCGTTGCCAAGATTCCGCCCAAATTAACGTTGGGTTTCAGACTACGCGAGGAACTTCAGGTAGTGTTATTGCAAGTTTGAACTGAAAATCGCCCGTTATATTTCTAAAAGTTGGAGTTTTTCAAAATAAATTCTTAATTCATGGATTAAGATAGAAAATCTGTAATTACTTGCAATTCATAAATCAAAAGTTTGCAACTTACAACTGTCGCGGTTGTTGAGTGAACTGCTGCTGTATAAACTGCTGCTCTTGTGGTACAAATGCCGTTGTAGGTCTTGTACGTACGCTAGTGAAAGGTGTTTGTGTTACGGAGATTTCTACTGGTTCCGGCGCGAAGCGCGTTGTCGTCTTGGTAAAGACGGTCTGTGTTTGTGGTCTCGTGTGTGTTTTCCTTGGTTTCGAAACTGGTGTAGTGTGAATGACAGTCCTTTCAGTGGTCGTTTTTGCTTTGAATCCATCTAAACGACATTAAGTGTAGCGGATGCAACATCGATTTTTGATGGTGGGTTTGTACTTTGTCATTCTCAAGCCTTCTAAAAAGCGCGGCTTTGACACGATCATATAGTCTGTCCCAGTAAAGGTCACGCCGAAATGTTGGCGTGTATCTCACAACTCTAGGAGGTTGCGCTGCAAATGAGCACCACACTCTGTCGTCACCAAAATTCGCCGGATAGGAGCACAAGAACACTTTTTTGATTATTTATTGCACGATGTACCGTGCAGCACAACTGCGCCCTAATAACAATACTCATCGCCGGCCATAGTGCCTGACACAACAGCCATCCTCTAAATTCTCTGAGCGACCGCGACGGCAACGAAAGTCAGTTTTTGAAGTATGCTTTGTTTAGGTGACAAAGTATAAACCCATTGCGAAAGACACACGAGCTCTGGGTTGGAGGTGGAAGCGAAGTGAAAAGGGAAAAATGCAAACCAAAACAAAAACCAAGCATCGTGTCGTGAGTGCATGCGGTGTGCTCATCAGCGTACAAAGCATGAACCCACGTCGGTGCATGATCTGCATACCTGGTACAGGTATAATCTGTTTCATTCGAGGTGACGAAGAGGAGGCCGGCTGAAATCAGTTGTATATCTTCTTGCTTGCTTCATTAAATAATGATTTTTTTCGTGTTGTTATACTTTCGGCCATAGCTCACACGCGGCTTCGGAATAAAGCGAGACTGGAGAACGTTATTTTTGCGCAAATTCACAGTCTCTTTGTCGCGCAGATCTTGCTTGCGTGGTTGCTTAGTGGTTCACAGGACAATCTTCCATCAGCCTTATCTGATAGCTTTCTAATCAAAAGTTTTACCTGTGCGGCTGTTGTAGTGGTAGGCGGTGGAGTAGTAGTGGCTACTGTAGTAGTATCCTAAATGGACAGGTTATTTTGTTAATTCAAATCGGTACTAGCAAAAAACCGTAGGTACAGTGGTGTGCAGTTAAGTGGTACACAAGCATTAACTATTGTGCTATTAGTAGCCTAAGCCATGTAGCACGAGAGCGTGAGAAATCTTTTGTCTTCCTAAAAACTCACTCCTTTATTCTAGAAGGTAGATCTAGGTAGAAAACGATCTTTACGAAAAGTTAAGCCAATAACTAATTTCAAAGCAGAAATACTCTCCACTTTAGCTTACGTCGTGACCGTAGAACAAAGTGACCTTTTTGGCACATCTAATTACAGATGGCATGTCTCGGATTTTCGCAGCTGAATTAGTTGTAGCAAAGATAATAACTCGGAATCCCAGAATAATTTCACAAAAACTTTTATGGTATTATGATGTGCAAAGTAACCTTTCGCGTTTTGTCTACGCCCTTCAAGTGTCTGGTCTATGTTTGTCCTGTTGGTTTCTGCAGTGAAAACTTACCATCCTACTATAATAACGCGCTAAGGCCGTCTGTTTTTTTGTGTGTGTGTCTGTCTGTAAATCTGTCTGTCACGAAATTCATAGAGTGAGTTGCAGCCAGCGTCTTGATCTCGAATTTTGGTCATAGCACCCAGTCAGCGTGTAGGTAAACTGGGCAAAACCACAAGCCGATCCAATAAGTGGAACCATCGAAAACTGTGCGTCAAACGGATCCACACAACTTTTGGCCTGTCAAAATGGGTCGGTAATTGGACTTTTTGCAAAGTCTTGGATTTGTTTAGCAATTGAATCCAAAAAACATTGACTTCAGCTCAAAAAATAAGCAAAAAGTCTATTTTTACACGAAATTGGCGCCAAAAAGATGTAACTGAGCGAATTGTCGATTTGCCAAGTTTTTACTATGAAAGTTGAGAGGATTTTTGAAGAGATATGTAGCCCAGGGTGGTCTTTATCCCTATGGCGACTATAATGCCAAAATAAATTCAGTAACCCATTCAAAATCGCATTTGTTTTTCTGCGGGAAAATTTTTTCTCCCAAAATTACCGATCTCACATGGAAAAGCTCTAAAAATGAATGGTTGTTTACAGTTCATTCGTGACGTTCAGCATCGCGCGGTGAGTTTTAAAGTCATTATTATGCGATCACGAAGAAGGCATGGATAGTAGAGCCAGTGCGAACCTCTGCGAAGCAGAGGTGACGCACTGGTACTCAATAAAGCATAATGCTAGGTTGTCCCATAAGTCTTTTCATTTTTCAGTTTTCGCTGTGATAAGTCGTACCTTCTCGTTCTGAATAGACATCAGCATACCATTTGTTAGAGCAAAGCAAGCTCTATAAGATGGGGTTTATGCTTTTGCACCAGCTTCGATCCACCTCACGTTTTAAACCTAAATCTAAAAAGTTTCGGATGCCTAGAAAATTGAAAATTTATTATATCTTCATTCAGAAAAGTCCCACAGATCTCTCACCCGCTCGCGTGTATACACTCCACTATACTGTAGACACTCATATCTGCTGTTGCTGTATTTTTTTATCAGCTAGAAATCAAGAAAGCGAAAACTTTCACGTTTTTACCAAGTGGTGGTGGCTTTTCCTATACTAACAATTGTTACGTGCCCTCAGAAGTACAATTGTAAATGTTCGGCTCTCTAAAAGTTGTAGTGCCCGATTAATATCGAATTTAGCTTTCCTCACTCAGGTTATCCACGCTTAACATTTCTCGAAAACCAGAACTTGTAGAGAGCTGAAAATTTACGGTTGTACTTCTAAGGGGTCGTAGTATACAACTTTTAGTATTAGAAGAGCACAGCATCACTTTGGTAAAAACATGGAAATTTTCGCTTCCTTTATTTCTAGCCAATAAGAAAGATAGCAACAGCACATGTGAGTGTCTGATGTGGAGTTACCCGCGAGCGAGTGAGAGATATGTAGGATTTTTTTGAATGAAGGTATAAAATTTTCAATTTTTTGGGCATCCGAAACTTTTTAGATTTTGGTTTCAAACTTGAGGTGGATGAAGCTGGTGCAAAAGCATGAAAACCCTCTTATAGAGCTTGTTTTGCTCTATCGAATGGTATCTTGATGTCTATTTAGAAAAAAAAGTTACACTTACCACAGCGAAAACTCAAAATTGAAAAGACTCATGGGACAACCTAATATGTACAAACTCCGTCACTCTATTGATATTAGGCTCGTTCTATGAATATTTCTGGGCCGATAGGAATGAATTTTGCTTGCTTTAAAATAATACAGATAAGACCCGTTGTTCATTCTCTGCTCCGCCCCAACTGGTCGATCATTTTGACCGCTCTCACCATACTAGCCGGACAGCGACGAACCCCTTAGTCCAGGACGCAGTGGAACAAGTCTCCACTCCAAGCACAATCAATGTCAGATGCTGTAACAAGGAAGAAAAAAGAACAACCAAGATGAGGAAGTGAGAAAAAGAAAAAGAGAAGTATAACTTGCGTTTGAGCAGGATTAGCAATCGGGTGACTTATATTATAAAATATCGTTAGGCAAGCAAATCTATAAAATCATATAAGGCGGATGACATGGGCAATATGTGGCTGCTTTTTGATATTTAGATTAACATTGCGATTTGAATCTGAAAAGGAATCTTGATCAACGATTAAGGAATCATTCCCCCATAGTCATGTAAACAGGAGTGGTAAAGCTGATCTCAGTTTTACGGTCAGGACGATACGCTGACTGGGAGCGAGACAGTTCCGCGGTGAGTCTATGCGATGGGGGGGGGGGGAGGGGGTGGGGAGCGCTGTGAAGTATTTGGTATGCAGAAGGTAGAGGAAGCATTACGGGAAGTGTGAAGAAAGATGAAGAAGTACAGCGAACAGAAACAGAGGAAAGTGAATTTGCTTCAATGTTGACTACATTTTTTCAAGGTAGTTAATGAGCCGACTGGGTATTCACGAGAGCCAGCTAATTTCAAATAATCTACATAATCCAGTCACCGTCACTGAAGAGGGGAATGCATTGGAAATAATGGGAATCTTGCAAAACGTCGTTATGTTTCATTCTAATCCTCTCTAGTGCGCTCGGAGTTTTCAGCCTGTGATTCACGTATCATGGCCGGTAAGTAGAACAGCTAGCTATGACGCTTCCGTTTTTCATATTGCCACTGTGATGCTGGTGTGGCAGTAGCTTGGCATATTCTTGGACTCTGCTATAGGGTGGGATGTTGTGCTGGCCTTGAGCCTTTTGATAGAGTAACAACGGTCCTGTCATTCATGACACTGCTTTGCTCGCAATCCGATTTTCGTGACGGCTTTGCCCTCTACCCAGGCAGTTTACTGTGTAGTTCCCTACACATGCCTTCACCTCTGGAGTTATTCCTTTCTGCGAGTTTTGGTCTGAATATCTTTACTTTTGGTCTGAATATCTTCAACGAGGGCCTTCTACCCTTAACTTCTGCCACAATAAACGCTATTTCCCTCTGCTGCTTTTTTTTCTTCATCATCATCAAGCTTGCATAATTTTGCTGCAATGTACGGAATGTTCTTCATCAGTGCACGCGTACCATCATCGAGGTTGGTATCTCCTTCTCAAAGCGCCTCTGCTAACTTGCTACTTGATTTGCATTGTGACGCATCAAAGAGTGCTCTAGTTTATCTTCCAACTGTAGTAGGGCGAACTTCATAGTTACTTTGGGCCAAAGTGCTTTTTTCTATGCACTCGAAACCCCTAGTTCCTCGATTGTTTTCCTTTGCCTTCCAGTTATAAATCACACTACCATTAGGCGGCGTTTTGACATGTAGTCATCAGGTAAACTGCGTTTCATCGCAGATTCACGCCTAAGCCTTGAAGAGCTGTTTATTCTTATCGGTGGCATGGGCAAAAAGACGACTGCCCTTTTCAATGAGGTGTACGTTTACAGATACCAATATTGTGAGCTTCAGCAACTGAAAGCAACCTCCTTGTCGCTGCAATTCCGTATTCCTTGTTTCCGTAATATCTACTTGCACAATTTCGTCGCTTCAGAGCTTTGATTACACAACTTTCATAGCTGCAGTCAGATAGAGGCGAAGCTAGCCGCCGCAAAAGGTTCTGACACATTTGATCACGAAAACAACGAATAGTATTTAGCTTTTACAAATGCGGTTTGGTGTCTAGGCTTTTTGATAGTTTGAAGTTCCAGTTGTGATTGAAGCCCTGATTAGACTACAGTGATCAATGCGAAACGTACTGGGTTGACTTAACTTCAACAATCATACTATTCTTGATTTGAGCCGGTGATTGAACATCAATATTTCAAGAAGAAAAGTAACGCTTCCATAACAAATCGAGGACGACAATTTCAGCCCTAGAGTACAGATGCTTATGCTTTTGCCGGTCACTCGCAAATTTTCGCCTCAACTTGCATGAAAGCGCAACAATATGATGTGAATCATAAATACCCGAATGCTTTTCACTAATAATGCTCTTACAGCGTTCTTAGCATGGGCACAAGCACGAGGAAACTTGCAGAGATTGAAGCTATTATCACTGCTCCTTCTCAGAATGAGATGAAAACAAGTCGCACAAGCCAAAATGAAATATAATGAATGATGAAGGCATATACTTTTATGTCCAGGATTGCTCTTGAAAATATGTTGCCCAAAGTTTTGTAATGCTCTCACGCATTATTTCTTCCGTTTGCGGAAGCAAAATCGTCAAGAGTAGCAGGCTGCTACTAGCAGCCAAAAAGTCAATATTAAATACAACAGAACTTTTGTCCATATATGATACCTATTTTTAGCAGCGTACAATTTTCTTTATAAGTGTATATAGTAAGTGAAAACTAGTTTGTAGTATCTGGCGGTAGTATACCTACTCCCGCAACATACAGTTTTTGAGTACTGTAAGCTTCAGTAGAGAATATCAATATTGCTCTTAAAACCATGACTTGGTGAGTTTAGCATCTTTATACCTGGGCTTAACCGTCGCTGGCCCTCAAACCTCTGTCCCGTTAAAAATGTTGCGCGCTCTAAGTTGCACCTATCTATGCGATTTGCGCATTGGCTCACTCAATGTAAGAACGTGTTTCGCGCTTGATAGTGCATGGACATATAGATTATAGTACGTATTCTAATCAAACGAATCGTACTGTAAGAAAATATATAATGCAGAGCTTGCAGCATGGTCTCGTACTATAAATTCTTCGCTGGCTAGAGGTTTGACGTGCGTCCAAAAGTCTTATGGCGAGTACACTCCTCTTTCTTCTCATAATTCTTCCCAATCTTCAAGCTGGACCCGATCCTAAACTCGACTTGCGAACTTGCTTTATATGACTTACCCTTTTCAGATGTACAAGCCGCACTCTGATTCAAAGGCACACCACAAGTGAATTAGCCTGCCGTGAGGCACGTTAACTGAGACTACAGAAGGAGAGAGTGACCACTTGGGACACACGTGCAGCGATGCCTCTGAACTGCTCGCATTTAGAGCAACATGGTGAGCTTGTACACTTGAAAATGGGGTGCAATGAACTACATAACCGTTCACATCTTGAAACACTCCGGTGCGGGAGCTTATAACCACAGTGCATGCCAGTGCACAAACCATAAAGACATGAATTGATCGATTTAGGTGAAAGGAAGTAGTCAGACTGTCAAGCCGCCGCTATTTATAGCAATTCTCTTGGGCTCTAGCAAGATATGTCCGCAAGCAAATGCGGCAATAATTTTCCTTATTTTTTTGTCATAGATTGCTTTTCCATGGCATTAGTGTTTCTTAGCAATAAGCGGACTATTATCAGAACAAGAATCATTTACAGTGTCAAATAAACGCCATCTGCGCTCATTCACTTACCGCTTTTGATCTCGATCTAATATTTTATTAAATAGCATTAAATACACACATTAATAGATCTGAGGCACAGCAAATCTCGGTAGTATTGGCTAGTGCACTTTTGTAACTTCAAATGCATTAGTTCAGGATTACAGTGAGATACACAGCATTTGCACGTGATATTAAATCGCAGTGTATAGTAGAATAACAAGAAAGATGTGATGTGATTGTGAATTCGAATTAGTGTAAAAAAGTGGTAAGGTGAGATTAAATGCAAGCTTAGGCGTGATTGAGGTAAAGAGCATCTAAATTCTAATTGATAAAAGCGTGATTACGATTAGATGAGTGGATGAGTGGTTGATTAGTGGCGATCTACGGTCTACGTCGGTTCGAAGCAAAAGGCCTCTGCATAGTATGCGGTCGAGCACGAAAGCGTCCGCGCCTGAAAGTATTTAGTGTACCACCAGGACGACGAACCGGAACACGTTGAGTAGGTTGAGATTGAGACCGAAATTGTGGCTGTGGTTGAGGGGGTAACGGCTGGACTGGCAACAGCTGGATTCCTTCGGTCCCAAACAGCCGGCTTGTGTCCATTTTGAACTGTTTCACTGGTGGCGGCGGCGTCGGCATTGGCTTTTGATAGTTCACATAACCCATTTTTGACACTCGACACGGTGGTATCGGGTCAGATACCACAGATTTTACCCAGAACATCGTCTGGTGTTTCACTACTGTTGCTCTGAAAAACATCTCTTACTCAAATATCCACACAATAACTGCTGTAAAGAAAGTCTCTCCCCAATGAAATCCCTACACAAATTGCACTGTACGACTATCCTCGTCTATCTTCCACCAAAGCCTCATATGCTTCTTTTTCTCATCATGAGAATGTGTAGCCGAGTTTTTAAACCTGAAAAACTTCTTTTATGGAGAAGCATGGGGCGGCTAAGAAAAAGCGCGGGGGTAGCGGTGATAGAATTCACCGGAAGCATTGTTGTTGCCATGAGCCATTGTCATCTAGCCTCATTAGTTGTCCCATCCTGAAAATCAACTCGAGTTATCGATCCAGAAGAGAATAGCCGTTTTATCTGTTTTGAGTACTTTCGAGTTTTCAAAAAAAAATGCAAAATTGTCCTTATCCATATTTGATAAATATTTACAAATTTCATGATTTTCCGCCATGCCAAGCTACTTTTCTTGTGACCAGCTCTTTATACTTGCAATTAAAGTCATATATATCACAGAGAAAAAACCACGAGAATATGTACTATTTACTTGTGCTGCGCAATCTCTAATATTTTTTAAGGAATTTTTGAATGATTCGATCACGACATTTTCAAAATATTGATCCTGAACAAACTAGAAATTTTCATATAAACTATAAAATGGACCCATGAAAAAATATGAAAATCAGAAGCGTTTTGAAATGATCATCCACTAACCTTTCTCCCAGAAATCCATCTCTCCATTCGAATGGTTGTATGACAAATCCTTTGAACCAAACGCTTTCGTTTACACCTTGTAGATGTACTGTAATAAAATTGTAGTAAGCTTTATCAGTAATCTGAAGTTTCTCAGACCACTGTTGTCTACAGAGTTACTCAGAGAAACAGACTTCCAAAAAGGATAGAAAACTACACTCAAACGTAAATTTTTTTTTGTACTTTTGCACATCTGGAACCGCTTAGGTCAACATCAACACAACGGGATTTTGCAAACCGGTTTCTTCCTATTTCCGTGGAACTATAATTTGTAGCACAGGTGGAACGCTAAAGATGATTAGTTGCCAACGATCTATATAATTGAAGTTTATACAAGTGCAAAAAGTTGAAACGAATTGATTGAATTGGAGTGACGTTTTTAAAATGCTAAAAAAGGAATTAATCGAGCAGGATATTACCTTTCAAACTCGTACTGACAACATATTTCACTTTGGAAATATTCCCTGATAACAAAAGTTCCAAAACTTTTTACGTGAGATTTCATGGAGAAACCTACAGGAGCCACTCGGAGTTAAGCTGTATGAGCTTACACACCGAATCCGACATCCAACACATTGGTCGCAAACAGTAAGAAAATTGTAAGTAGAAAACAGATAGAATTACACGTAAAAGTGTCACGTATAAGTAAGACCTTAACCGTGATGCCTCGCATACTGTGCAGTGCACATATTCTTACCTCTGCTTCGCAGAGGTCCGCACTATCTCTGCTATCCGTATGTCTTTCTCGTGCTCGCATAGTGATGTTTTTGAAACTCGCCGCGTAATGCTGGACGTTACACATGAATTGTAAGCAACTGCTCATTTTTGGGGCGCTTCTCGATGTAAGATTAGTAATTTTGAGAGAAAAACTTTCCTGCATAGGAACGAATGCAAATTTGAATAAGTAACTAAATTCATTTTGGTTTGATAGTCGCAAAAAAAGTTGATAACTACCTTGGGCTACACTTCTGAGCGAAAAATGTTTTCAATTTTTCGGGTAGAACCTTGACAAATCGACTATCTGCGCAGATTCCTTCTTGGTGCTGTTTTCGCAGAAAAACAGCCTTGAGCATTTTCTGAGCTAGAACTCACTCGCAGATTTACTTGTAGGAAAATGCATGACTTTACAAAAAGTCGAATTAACCACCTATTTTTTGCGTGCTAAAGCCGCGTGGACCCATTTCACGCCCAAATTTTGATGGATCCGCTCATCGCACCGAACCTCCTTATGCATTGGTGGATCTGCATGCTGGTACCGTACGTTGTGCAAAATTGTAACTCGATAACTTGGCTGCAGCTTTCTCTATGAATTTCGAGTCAGACAGACATCACACACGCACAAAAAGACAGACGCTTAGCCTTTACTCTAATTCTTATATTACGGGTGAACTCTAATATGAACACTTACATGTCAGCGGTTGATTCCTCCAGTAACATTTTTGATCGACTTTTATCTCATATGGCGGCGGGGTTAACTGAAAAGTAGGGTATGGGTAATACTGTATGAACCTTTAACAGGATTTTTTGAGTCGACAAACCATCTTTTTTAAAGATATTCATTCGAAGTAGTTTTGTAAGATAGATGCGCATACGAAATAAGCTCACGTGAACACTGCTAAGCGATCATTGGTTTCAATGTGTCTGGCTCGCTCGGCGATGCAAGAGCTCCTCGAGGTACGGGGCCGAAAGCACGGTTATTGCAGCCTTATTCGACCACGATTGCAATAGTCACTATGCATTGCAATCGCAATCTCTCCGCACCCCTCTTTGTTTGGCACGTTGTCAGCCAAGCAGGTATGATAGCTGCAGCGCCTCATTATGGCGTTTAACAGCTTTCGTTTGCTTCCATAGTTTCATTCTAGGCTGGTGCTTTGCAGATGAGCTCTCGCCTCGGAAAAACCTCTTTTGCATTGAACAGTCGAGCAGATAACGACATTGGATTGAATTTGAGCCGAGCCTATTTTGAGACATTTTGATACTGGAAACTAACAGATAAAAAAATTTTGGAGGGAAAAGCTGTTGTGCCGTGTTCTACCCTTGGCGACGAATTTGTTTAGTGAAGCAATCGGGACAATTCATATTTGAGACTTAGGTAAACGCTCAGCAGTAGTATTTCTAGGTAGTAGTACTTTTGCCTTCCAGTGCTACCAGGACAATTGTTAGCAATTAAGTTCGCGCGCTAGTGTTGATAGCAGACTAGGATGCGCCGGGTGGCGGGTGAGCATTTGGCTCATTGGGGGAAATCGAGGTGCTTAAAACTCACCGAGCCGTCACGTAATGCATCCCATGCGCTCCACTCATAATCAGATATTCGCGGTAAGTCCCGCAAAAGTCTTGCGGCATTTAAAAATACGGGCTGAAAAGGTAGTCTTGCGCGAGAACCCGATTTTGTCCAGAACTTAGAGCCGGCCATATATCACGCAATTTCATCATCCCGCTCTAAGGTCGGGACAAAACCGGGTTGTCACGCGAGACAACCTTTTTTCGCGCTTTTTATTTTATGAGTGGACTCTTGCGGGAGTAAACCACGAATGTTTGAGAATAACTGCGCGACCGCCGTCTTCGCGTCCGCGATATCATTCTAGCCATTCGCCTTTGTCCGAAACTAGCCTCTACACATATTTTTTACAATGAAGAGTAGAGAAATCAAATTTATGTCTTGAAAATGAAGTTATAACCATAAAACCATATCGTCGATTCACGGCACGGAGTGCTCAAACCCCGCGGACCACGCGCGGCGCGGCTGAAGTGTTACGAAAGCACGAATTGTACAATGGCGAATTTGTTAGGGCAAGCGTTTTACCTCGGGATGCTTGCTCCGCAGTGATGTCCAGTACTTGCGGTCAACGGATCGACTATGCCTGTTTTGTATAAACGATTATTTACTTATCACCAGGGTCAAGCAAGGGTGTGGTACACGATTGCTGATTACGACCCCCCTCCCCCTAATTGCTGTCTTAATAAGGCCCCCACTGAACTATATACCTAAGATAGCATTTCCAGAGTTGAGAAAGAGGTCAGGCACAAGTCTTTCGAACCCCCCCCCCTCCCATGAAAGCCCTCTTTTTCCTCCGCTTAACTTCTGGACCTCAAAGTGTGACATTCTGGAGGACACCATCTTTTTCTAGAGAGTTTTCAGATTTCTGAGAGCTGTACGCCCGATTTTCTGTGACTGCACTTTACAATCACACATAATTTGACGGCTGATTTTGATCAGAATGGACATATAAAGGGCCATAGTTTTTTTTATGGGTGGGGCGTTCGGCTCCAAATTTCCAATGTAGCAAGAAGAAGCTATGTGCTCAATAGTCATACCAGCAATGGAGCGCTTTCTGGATTTTGAAGGCAAGTTAAGGGTGTGCCGCACCCCATTAATTATATAAAAAAACATTTTTAGCGGACAGTATTTATATGAATCGATAGCCTAAACTTAGTAGATTCCATAGGACCGTTTGGAGCCTGATTTGTCTTCTTAGCTCTAACAAGAGAAGGATGGTCAGTCGAAGTGGCCTTTTGCGATGACTTGTGTATCATTATGTAGGGCATAAAACGCTGATTCCAAACTGTTTTCTTTATCTGCGGCGCGTTCCTACACAAGAAGTTATGAGCGTTTATTGGAGAAAAAAATTGAATGTGGAAATAATATAAGAACAGTAGTAACATTATTCCTAGCGCTTAAATGGACCAGTGATAATCTTTCCAACATCCTATAAAATAAATACTCGAAGATGAGATGTATTCACACTCCGGCTGTCTCATTCAAGCGCTGGGAAAATTTTAGCCAATGTTTTTATCCCAGAAAACACTAATTTTTTGCTCCTTCAAACGCTCATAACTCCTCCTCCAGGAACGCGCCGCAGATAAGGAAGGTAGATTTGGAATCAGCGTTGTATGCCCTCCAACATGGAATACAATTCATCTCAAAAGGCCACTTCGACCAACCATCCTTCCCTTGTAAGTAATATTTGGTGAAAGCACAGCGATCAAAAGCGAAAAATGGGAAAAACGAGATTTTGGTTGGCTTCTAATTCCACAATTTGCAGGTCTTCTGAAGCGGAATTCCTGAGTTGGACAAGGAAGGAGTAGTGCTTTGTCTTGAGTGCAAAAACGGATAGCTAATTCACCTTTCAAACAAAGTTAACCATGTTGGAATTTGACCATTTCACTTAGGTAGCCTAGTATCTTGAATCTTCAGAATTCGCTCACACTTTGTCTACAGGGGTTAATTGACATGCTAATTATGGATATGATACAAATATCATGTTATCACTATTATCAGATTACCCAACTACGACTCCCTCCTCTTTTGACTCCTCAGTACGACCCCCCAGGTGTGGCGTGCCGTACCCCACGCTTGACCCTGCTTATCACTGTTTTACTGCAACTTAAAACAACGTCTACCACCTATATGCAGTTATGTTTTTAATTTCTCACCAAAATTTATCGAGTTGCATCGATATCGTGGAGGATTCACGTACGCTGCCTTTAAAGTTTTTTTCACTATACACCGAACATAGACAAGCATTCTAAAGCTCGACTCGAATGATAGATTGTTATTCTGAGAAGATCATACCGAACGTCAATCATTCGGTCACGCATTGTGTGATGATTTGTCTGTGCGCAGGTCGTTGGACGAATAACAACACTACGGCAGCAGCTAGTTTGGTATCAGAGACAGGCTTTGTCAGCTTAGACGTGATTTGATGCGTTATAGCTTGTTGCCATTGTTTGACGAATTTCTTTCGGATTGCACGAACGCCAAGCTTGCAGTATGTGGAGGGGCGGGGGGAGGGAGGAGAAAATCTGACAAACCTTACAAACAATGAATTTATGGATGGCGATGGAGAAGGGTCAAAAGGTCAAATTGCTCCTGATTTCGAAGGTATTCGTATTCGCACTACGAAGTGCATGATCTTAGTTTGGCTGAGTGGTCTAACTACTCAACCGCGTTGCGGTAGGATGGGCGCGGCAGGCCACAGTCCTCTACCTTCTGTATTGGTCCGTAGCACCTAACAATAGGTTTTGGAAGTCATGTAAAGAATCAGATGGCAAGCGAACAAATGTCAGCCTTTAAACTTTCTAGACTATAGTCTATTTCGGCATCTACTGCATATGCACGAGCGGTCGCGGTGCGGCAGGCACTTGTCTAAAAGCATTTCTATTGCTGTCTTTAGAGCTATGCTAGCTTTACAAGTTTCCAAATTGCTCAGCAAATCTCAGTCTGCAAACATAACTGCTGCTTACATGGGCATTTTCGCTAACTACAGTCCCAAATCAAATTCAGAAATTCTCTTCTAACAAGGGAATGGTCAGAAGTCGAAGTGGCAAATCCATGCAAATTGTATACCATTCGATGCAGCATAACATGCTGATTTGAAATCTGTCTTCCATATCTGCAGAGCGCCTTTGTAGGTGAAGTTATGAGCAGCTTTACTGCGAAAAACGCGTATACAAAAATTGCGGAATTAGGAACATTATTGCTCTTTCAACTCACCTCTAGGTGCGGGTCATATGAAGTGACCTAGTTGCATGTTTTGGTCCAACACTGAGTCGAGAATGGCCTTGTACGGCCAAGTTTGCACTTTACACGCATTATTTCTTAGCAAAATAATGGCCTTCAAAGGCTTATAATTTCGTCCACAAAAGCGCTCTGCAGATAGGGAAGACAGATTTAGAGTCAGCGTTTTATGCTGCATCTAATGGAATGCAGCTTGTATGGATTGGCTACTTCGATTTCTGACCATTCCCTTGTAAGTTCATTACCATTGGAACATTGTCAGTCATGCTAGTCTTCTAAACCATGGTGACAATGTAATCAACTATTGAATTTAGTGATTCATACCAGTAGTCAAAGGCGTCATAAAGTAAAGGAAAAGTCGTTTTTCTGCTTTTTGTCTGTCTGTTGGACGAGTTGATTTGCATCATCGCTGCTATATTCTGACTCGGACAGCATGCGTACTTTAGGTTTTTTTTTGAAGCGAAACTATCGTCGTGAGAATCATAAAATCGCAGTACGAAAAAACAAATCACGGAACCATTTCCATGGGTGCTTGAACCTGCTTAAATCAACTTATTCTAGCCAAGAAATGTTACGGGTTCTATGATTTCTTGTTTGATATATGAACGGGTTTTGTGGTGTGTTTAATAAAAATAAAATCCGGGCAAGTCCATGGCACACTGAACAGAAAAAAAGTATCCCATGAGACGAAAATAGGTAATAAGAATCGTAAAAAGGTGCTTCAACAGTTCTAGCCTCACCACCTATCTTTGCGGACGCAGCGCTGTTGGAACAACCCGCATTGAACAAAAAACTCAGTATGTTCCGGATTATATTTTGAGCGAATATTGGTGAAACATCATACTCTTTTCTTTTTATAATTTCCATATTCTTTTACATTTTCCAATAACTTCAAACTCTACTCAGTCGAGATTGTCCAAGCGTGGGCCTAAATTTGCGCGTTTGCGAGTTTGCCACATGCGCGCTCAAGCATTGGCATTTCGCGAACTAGAGAATGAATGACTGAGTAGAGCGCAGACATGGTCCTGCCACGACCTGACGCAAAACTCTTCCAAGCGTGCATTAAACTAGTTTGGGTTTGCGAACATTTTTCTTTCAAGTTAATGATGGAAGAGATATCCTTGTCACGTTTTTGAAGAAAAATCCATACCTGTAATCCTCCTTGATGTTCAACTGCTTCTAATGGGTTCATACTTTCGTAGGCTGTAATTAAGCACGGAGCACCATCGGGCCATGATTGGGTGATTTGTATCAACGAGGCTACCAATAATAAGAGGATCATACCTGAATCAATGATCGAATTTTTTGAAATAAAGAGAAAATAGGTGCAATAGCGGCTACGATTCTTCAGAATTGTAAATTAGCTCTAATCACTTGAAGAATTTGTTATCTTAAGATCAAGAAACGCTAAGAGAATGAACAGTGAGCACATTTTCCAATGTGAGAGTGCCAAGTCAGTTAAATAATACATGTAGAAATAAAAATGCAGTGGTAGCGAATTGCTTTGACAAGTCGTAATGAAATATTGCGCAATACAGGTTTGCTGATGAGTTTGATCAATTTACTGGTGTAGATCGTAAATTTGTCTCGAAAAAGTTGATGAAAACGTAGTTGGAGAGAAAAGTAGCGACAATACAATTATTAATATATTTATGACTGCTGCTACTTGAAAACCTTGATTATGGCAAATAAGAAAAGTTTTAAAGAAACAATTTGTCTTAATGTTGATCAATAATAAATTTTTGCGAAGCTAGTGCAAGACTAGGAAAAGGAAAATCATTAATAACGGAAAAATCTAGATTTTGACCATGTTAAAGTTTTCGGTAAGCTAACTCTAGGACCAGGGAGGGGTAAATTTATAGATCTAATGAATTGATGCCTAGCTTTCCTATAACTAAAACCTCCCAGTACCTGAAAAGAAATGAAAAGTTAGAACAATCAGATAAGACGGATGAAAAATGAGCTCCCAAGAAGATTCAGTAGTATACGGCCTGAAACAAGATACCAATACCTGTCTGCTAGGGTTTTTACTACCAATGAGAAACGCTCATTTGTGTGGAAAGATAGTGAAACCGGCTGGAAAACGTGTGAATAGTGAATGATAAGATTTTTACAAAATAAGAATATAGGCTAGAACTGGTCCCTTAGGAAGACTCGAGCTATTTGTCGAGCTTGTCATCGACCCCATCTGTCGATTTTCGAGCTATGTAGAGAAGTTTGGGGACAGGTGTGAGTCCAAGGGCAAAACGAAGCCAGCCGGGAGATTTTTATCGGCGACAAAAATTTAGATCGCAAATACCTGATCGTTTTCGTTCGTTATACGGTTTGAGCGATGTTTTCTGATGTAGAAAAACGAGAAAGCTTCTCTAAGATTAGAAGATTATCTCGTCAGTGAGAAAAACCACTAAAATTCCAGAATCCTTTCCAGATCTTAGATTTTAACTGTGGAATGTTTCGTTTAGCACGACGATTAAGTGGAGACATGACAGGTTGAAAAAAGTTTCTTGGAACACATGTGTGTGACCGCATGCGCGATTAGTATGTGAATGTTTTGCAAATTTGCGCACGTAGATGTATTTTCAAAGAATTTATGAGAATTTACTTGACAAGCAACCTAAGGGTGTGGCTGAATCATACTTCTGAACAAGTTTTGCAAATTGAATAGGCGTAAAGAAGGTGAAAATCTTTGTACGCGGAAATTATGAGTTGATGAAGAGAACAGTTCTTTATATAACGAACTATATATGGAAAAATGTTGTCAAAAGTTGCTCTTGGTGCTAAAAAGTCTAAGGAACACTCTTTGTTCAATTATGGAAATTAAGAAATGTGTCGAGTAAGTAATGTTTCGAAGAGAGTTGTTATATAAAGAGAGAGAAAGAGCATTTTTTCTCAATGGACCATTTGGCTCAGCAAGTATGTACCACTTTTCGTCTATCTGGACATGAGAAACAAAAACAAAAGCAGAGTTTGATAGGTGAAGGCATAACACATGACAAAGTTTTCTTTCAAGGAAAAAAAGGGTAAAGGATTTTGTCTAGAATGACACAAATCATTCTTTGAGCCAAAATGAATCATGGAGAAATGATTGTAAGGGCTAGAAATAGGAACCAGTTCTTTCTTCCCACATTTGGCCAACCTACACAGAGTTGGTAAGTATACGAAGCTTGCAAAAAACTTATAAGTGCCAAGGCCAAGGTGTCAACAACGAATAATTGTGTTTTGCAACAATTTAAGCAACTGTCAACACACTCACATATAATTCATGTTCTTGGAAATGTAACATTCAGTCGAATTTAATACAATGTACATGTAATGACGAAGTGACGAGTTTTTAAATTAAAAGTTTCTGAAGGAAAAAGGATAATGCGCAAAAAAGGTGTAAAATAGAGAATGGTGGACATGAAACTTGAGACCATCCTTGCTTTTAAGGAGGTAGTGGGAGACTGCTGGGATTTAGGGAGCAAAGTGGAATCTAACTTTATTGCTGGCATTAAAAATCGAATAGTCATCATCTCAAACCTTAATAATCAAAATTAAAAAATGAGACAATCACTAAGAAATATGGACTTTTTAGAACATGTCATATACGGGAAGGTAAAATTCATTCGATTTGCTCCGAGAAAAAAAGCTACGAAATTCCCCTAAAACTGCAGCTGAATATACGGGTAGGATATTGCTGATACCGTCCATCTCCCATTTCCAAAAATTGTCTGGACACTGCCTCAATTTACGAACAACATTCTGAACAATTCTAGTTAATTCTAGATTGTCAATTTAGGGTGCGCCAAAATTACCTGCGCCAACTTTGAAAACTGCCACGAAAAAGCCACAGAGGAATATAAGCTCAAATTCAAGTCATAGAATGCCCTAATCAAACGCCACAAGAAGCATTTTACAGAAATACTTCTTTTTAAGATTACGAGAATTGAAAGAAACAGATTAACAGTTTTGAAAAAAGCAAAAATGGGATTTATACACTTTCAGAACTTGCTGTCAGCTGATGAACTCGGAGCTTTTTTGAACCTTTTCAAGCAGAGAACGTAGAACACGTTTTGCTCTACCATACCGTCCTAGTTGAATTTACAAGAGTTTGTCCTTTTACAAAATACGAAAATGTATCTGCGAAAAATACGTGCGTACGAGCAACGACCTTATGTTCAAAGTCGATTGTAAAACACCAGTCATGCAAAACCTCCTAAGTAAAAACATTTCTCAGTTTATGAGACGTGTAAAAGAGCGTCTATTATGTCTATTATTACCGATTTGTGAAAATTGTTTCGAAGCTGATTTAGAAAACATTTTCTGATTTTTAGGCGCAATCGCTGAGGCCAAATTATCACTGTTTTTGATATGCTGCCTCAAAGCTTTCTGAAAAAATTATAATCCACCTTCGATTCAACTCTCAAATTTCTGCATTCGACGTTGTTAGAGGGGAAGACTAGTTCTACTTTGAGGTGCACTTTGGGAACAAAAAAAATTTTTTTTCAAGGGTGCGAATTCCTAAAGTTGTGCCTGCGTACGGAGCACATTTCTGCTTCAACGATTTGAGATTTTTCCAAATATGAATCAGCCAAATTCTGATCCAAATATTGCATTATTATGATGATGGTGGTTGTTGAAAACAGATGCATGCTTGAACCGCCATCAAGCCCGCCTTCTGTTCTTCTGGCAATCAAAAAAAGAAACGCGCCGGTAATTTTGGCGCACCCTGTAGAAAGAGCTACTTTTAGGAATAGAATGTATATACTATGCAAAACTGCTTAAAGCTGAGTCATCTTCGGCATTTTCGGAATCGGAATCGGAATTCTTGCTACTCAAATAAGAGTAGCAAGAAGCCAAGATCGAATCATGCACTTTTACAGAATTACATACTTCCTGCAGAGCAAGTTCGAGCGTCGATCATCTTTCTCAGTTACTCATCTCAAGACGTCGAATCTCTGGTACGAGTTTAGCAACAATCAAAAAAGTTTATTTCTAAGCTGGCTACCTTGGCAAAACGCGAGAAATACGAGTTCAAATGGGGAACGCACAGCGCAAGCATTCCAACAATTGGTGTCACTGACTTTCAGCACATTTCGTTGTCAAAAAAATCAAATTATTTAAAAAAAAATCATCGGCACTATGACAAATCTATGAGGAAGAATGACCAAGCCAAAGAAGTGGAGTGTACGAATAGCTGTTGATAAGCAAGAAAACCAGTTGAGAATACGTCAAAAGCCGTTGCAAAGTACCATGAGCTGATTGAAAACAACAACAATAGGAAATCGCAACGTTCGCAAGACAACCATCAAATTCACCTATTGCTCACAATGCCCAAGGTTGTGCCGTCGCACATTCTTGCGCAGACCGCAGTTGTGGGGGACGTAATAGTTGGTTAGTGTGGTGGTGGAAAATAGTAGAGAAAAGTGACGATACAAAAAATACCACCTACTTTCAATCTTGTGGTTAGCATGAACAGCTTCAATGAAATTTCGCAAACTATAGATTCAAATAAGCGGTACTTTCAAAATTTTTCTAGGAGCAAAAGAGCAATAGATTGTCTTCTGGATGAAGGGCATAGCGACAGGCATGCTTTTTCAATATCTCTAAATGCTTCTCAAAATTTATAATTTTTGAAAGAAGCCAAATTTGCCTTTACAGAATTTGTAGTTCTAGCTCTTCACGGAAAGCAAGTCAGACGCTCGAAATTGTCCTTCTAGCTTCATTCTAGTGTATCTATCCCTCTTCAAAGTGAGAATAACTAAACCTAAGCGATCAAGATATAGGGCATTTGAAAATCGTGACAATGGCGAGACCGCGCGCGATACGCACGCCACTTCCGGAAATCGCATTTTCTTAGTTTTCATCTCTAGTCGAATAGTTTTTTGCTAGGTATGGTAATATTTAGACATCGGAAGTGATTGAGCTGAAAGTTGAGGTGGTGCTTCTTGTATGAACGTTTTATGTCTCCTGTGGGCGCAAAGGCCGCAGTCAAATCCGTCGTCACGATTTTATAAGTGAACTATATGTTGTTTATTCTAATCCGCTTAATTTGTCTTTTATCTCATTATTCCTTTGTAACTGAAAGCCTTGAAATATGTCTTTTCTAGAACTGCAGAAGTACAGCATGCCTATGAGCGTACCAGATATATAAGCATACAAACAAATTTGTTTTATGATTTCTGTGAATTACGGCTTCAATCTCTCTTCTTTCCTTTTCGCAGTCCGCTTCTGCATACATATTTGTGGTTCAAACAAAAGTTGGCCAAATACATATAATAAAAGAATTTTGAGTAGCATCACATAT